ACGTAATCCGCAATGGGGAATTCTTTTCCGGCAATTTTTGTGGGATTGGAGGAGAAGAAATTGAAACGTTCAGTGAATTTTCAGGTTCATCACCGAATAAAGTACGAAATTGTCACGTAATTTTTCCCGAAGAAGTCAAATCTTACAGAAACTTGCCGACTTATTATGCCTCAAAATCAAAAATTCTTGAACGTTCAACAATTTTTAGGAAGCTGGTGAGTTATTTCTGCGTTCTGTTCCGTAAAATTTCTCAGTCGTTGGGGAAAAATTACGGAACGACTTGTTGTCCCCACAGCGGTGAGTTCTCAGACGGGTGGTTAATTTTTACAGAACAACATTTTTCAGTTCCGACTCACACTTTTTATTGAATTTTACTTCGCTCGCGGATGCCGTTTCGAAACGTAATTCTTACGTTTTTTTCTGGTAATTTTTATTGAACTTTTCTCTCCGTGTATTCCGTGGAAATTTGTTCAAATTGAGTGAATAGAGGTAAATATATTCTTCAGTTTGTAGTAATTTTCAGGAGAAAAAAATCACGAAACTTCAAATTTCACTGAAATTCCAAATTTTTCATGAAATCGAGAATTTTTATTCCGACTGTTCCTCTATTTACCATTATAAAACACCCAGAATAATTATAAAATGAGTTACGGGGGAATGGTGCAATTATCTCTGCGGAAAAACATTACTTTTAGTTTTTCGAAGTTTTATTTTGTCACAGGACCACACAATGTGGATTCCTCAGGCACATAATTGAACTATAATTTGCAATTTTCATTGATTTTTCAATGAAATTGTGGAATTTCAGGCAAACAATTTCAGTTCAATTACGCGGAGAGAAATATTCAGTCAAAATTACGGAACAATTCACGTAATCCGCAATGGGGAATTCTTTTCCGGCAATTTTTGTGGGATTGGAGGAGAAGAAATTGAAACGTTCAGTGAATTTTCAGGTTCATCACCGAATAAAGTCCGAAATTGTCACGTAATTTTTCCCGAAGAAGTCAAATCTTACAGAAACTTGCCGACTTATTATGCCTCAAAATCAAAAATTCTTGAACGTTCAACAATTTTTAGGAAGCTGGTGAGTTATTTCTGCGTTCTGTTCCGTAAAATTTCTCAGTCGTTGGGGAAAAATTACGGAACGACTTGTTGTCCCCACAGCGGTGAGTCCTCAGACGGGTGGTTAATTTTTACAGAACAACATTTTTCAGTTCCGACTCACACTTTTTATTGAATTTTACTTCGCTCGCGGATGCCGTTTCGAAACGTAATTCTTACGTTTTTTTCTGGTAATTTTTATTGGACTTTTCTCTCCGTGTATTCCGTGGAAATTTGTTCAAATTTAGTGAATAGAGGTAAATATATTCTTCAGTTTGTAGTAATTTTCAGGAGAAAAAAATCACGAAACTTCAAATTTCACTAAAATTCCAAATTTTTCATGAAATCGAGAATTTTTATTCCGACTGTTCCTCTATTTACCATTATAAAACACCCAGAATAATTATAAAATGAGTTACGGGGGAATGGTGCAATTATCTCTGCGGAAAAACATTACTTGTAGTTTTTCGAACTTTTATTTTGTCACAGGACCACACAATGTGGATTCCTCAGGCACATAATTGAACTATAATTTGCAATTTTCATTGATTTTTCAATGAAATTGTGGAATTTCAGGCAAACAATTTCAGTTCAATTACGCGGAGAGAAATATTCAGTCAAAATTACGGAACAATTCACGTAATCCGCAATGGGGAATTCTTTTCCGGCAATTTTTGTGGGAATGGAGGAGAAGAAATTGAAACGTTCAGTGAATTTTCAGGTTCATCACCGAATAAAGTACGAAATTGTCACGTAATTTTTCCCGAAGAAGTCAAATCTTACAGAAACTTGCCGACTTATTATGCCTCAAAATCAAAAATTCTTGAACGTTCAACAATTTTTAGGAAGCTGGTGAGTTCTTTCTACGTTCTGTTCCGTAAAATTTCTCAGTCGTTGGGGAAAAATTACGGAACGACTTGTTGTCCCCACAGCGGTGAGTCCTCAGACGGGTGGTTAATTTTTACAGAACAACATTTTTCAGTTCCGACTCACACTTTTTATTGAATTTTACTTCGCTCGCGGATGCCGTTTCGAAACGTAATTCTTACGTTTTTTTCTGGTAATTTTTATTGAATTTTTCTCTCCGTGTGACACAAAATTAATTTAAGCAGGAAAAATCTGTCTCTGCAATTGCTCGGAGTCGGTAAAATTGTTAATTCAATGAGAATACACCGCTGCAACGAGATTTGAGGAGACCAAATGGGAATAGGAGCCACGTATTATGCGAACAGTAACTTGGAAATTAAAAAAAAAAATAGAAAATAAAAGACGTTAGAGAGCGAGAGAGAGAGAGAGAGAGAGAGCGAGTGAGGGAGAGGACACTGAGTAAAGTGGGAGTCACGTGTACCGTTATCGGGTTAGAGTAGGTTATATGCCAAGAAGACGAAAGGGCTCGGTGCACGCGGGGGTCATACACATCGTCCTCTTCCCCATACCACTGTGTGCATGTCGAGTCATCATTAATCAACTTTATATTTTCAACTGTTTTCCCGCGGGGCCCCCGGCGGGCACAATCATGCACTTTATGTCAAGATCATTCTAATAACATTATAATAATTTTATCGCGCTTTTTGCTGGGCTTTTCCTCAACGAGTCATCGGCTCCATGACTTTAATTGAAAAATCACCATCACCTTTGTGAAATTATCCATTCGGCTGGTTTGGCTGTACAAATTCAAACGTGTATCGCTAATTATCCGGCGAGCACTGAAATTTCTAGAGAGTCAGTGGTTGACCCCTCCGCTGAAGTATTTAATTTCCTTGTAGCATAGATCTTCGCAGTAGGCACAATAATAATTACGAGGCTTCAAGAATCTTGAGGATTCACGTGAGAAGTAGGAGGATGCGTGATAGGGGGTCATCTATTCTCAATGTTAGAAACAAAAAGTTCAAGTAGGAAGTCGCTCTATTCCCTTTCAATGTCAGACGCTTCACGCAAACCGCAGGAATTCAACGGGAATAACTACTTTTTCTCTCTCGCACTGTGTTTGATAGATAAAAATTATTCAAATTCACCGTCACTTATTTTCTCGAGTTAAAATGCTGCTGTTGGCAAATTTTTCATGTCAGTTGTCTTGCGGTGTACTGGGGGGAGGGGGGACGGTGTATTTTCACACCTGTCGACATCAAGCGATGTGAAATAGTGGCTCGGAAACCACAAGCTCGAGGAAAAAATATATTAACCACAAATTACTTACCCTCGTCATCTTTAATGTAATGTAAGACAACCAGCGACGACGCCCTTATAGAGTTTCTTGGTGTATTGTTAACTTCTCGATAAGGGAAGTTGTTGTCATCGTAGACAGCTATCCGAATTTAAGATGTCAGATGGTAAAAAACGTCGGAATCTTCAAAAGTGTCGGAAAATCTGACTAATGTCTGAACATTTCAAACATAATTTCTGTCTGAAAATGATGGTAGACATTTTTTGTGTCTGATAAATTTCAGGTATTTATTTTCAGATGTTTTCTGTGTCTGAAATTCAGTTGTTTATGAGCGATTCAAACATTTCACTGTTAAGGGTGCCAAGTGAATTTGAAAAAAGATTCAAAAAAAATTTTTTCTTTCCCTCCATCATTGGAGAAATAGGTATTCATCGACGAAATTTCAAACCCGCAACCGAAACTAGACATCGAGAAAATAAATACGGAAAATCTTCTGTTTCACGCGACGAACCTCGAGAAAGCATGGGATCAAATGGGTACGGCGGATTGAAATATCTCTCTTATTCACCCCGGTACCCCATTGTTTTTTGTCGCCATCACATTGAACACATCATTCCCCATATCTTCAAATTTTTTCAAATTTTTCTTGAGTTCCTAGGGGGTTGAAACGTTTAATTTAATCAAAACTCCATAAGAGGCCGTGTACAAGACTGATTTTGTTTATTTAATTTCTCGATATTCATAAGTTCTAAAATTTTAAAATTGTCACCGATATTCACCATCTGTCTAATACTTTTAATTAAAAAAATTATAACTTTGTTGGTGAATTTTCAAGGTCATCGCCAAATTCATTTGGCACCCTTAAGATATCTCACCTGATTCAGACGGCAAAGTCCATTCAAACGTTAATTTTTAAGGTATTTATCATGTCTGAAAAGTTGACTCATCCACTGCAAAAGAATTTAAAAAAGAATTCTTTTTTCTCAATACAAAGAGTAATTCTTTCCCTTTGTGACGAGCCCAAACCGAGCTCAATTGATCAATTTGTTTCTGAGTTATGAATCATTTTAAAAAATTTTGAAGTGTCCGTTTTACCTCACCCTCCCCTAATCCTAAATTTTTTAGCAGCAAAAATTATTGTGTTAAATTTCACCGAATAATTAACCTGAACTCAACAGTTTCCATAATTTTTTTCGTCAAATTGGAAACTACCAATAGCACAAGTCTAATGTGATGAAAATTTTCAAGAACTCTACCCGAAATTTCACCCCAAAATTTACGAAATGAGAGAAATTTTAAGCAACACGACCAGTTTCTTTAACATAATAACAAACAAACGACTGAAAGCGAGCCTCCAGATAGGGGAGGGTGGGGTAAAATGGACGCTTCAGATTTGTTTAAAATTCCTCATGAGAGAAACAAATTTATTAATTAAGATCAGTTTAAGCTCATCACAAAGGGAAAGAATTGTTGTTTGTATTTTAAAAGAATGATTAAATTTCATTAATATTTCAACCCGACATTAACACTGTAAAAAAGTCAAAAGTGTCCATTTTACCCCAACCTCCCCTATTCACGCACGAATGGGCAGATAAATTTCCCGCTCGAATCATGTCTTCTGTTCCTAGCGCCCTCTACGATCTAAAAAATCTAGATAAACCTTCATTACCGACTGATCCCAACATCTAGGGATTTTCAGAAATTCCCTCGAGATTTTTGCGACTGAAAGTTGGTCATGTGAACGACTTCCGGCTGAATTTGTCGGATTTCGGTCTTTCAGCAGTGCAAGATGGCTGATCAGGTATGCTCCCACATTCATCGTCGTAAAAATACTCAAAACTAATAGTTAAGAGTGAATTTCAAACATAAAAAATCACGCGATAGCTATCTGTATGAATTTATAATCAGAATGAAATAATCGAACTTGTTTTTCCAACTGGAAATGATAAAAAAGTGAATTGTCTCGGCGTTGGGAGCACGTGGTTGGGCGTCGTGGACTCCAGACTCCACATGCATGAGCAGAAAGGCAAACGCTTTGGAAACCTCATTTTAACGTTTCATTTTCATTTTTTACCCAGACGGAGCGTGCGTTTCAAAAGCAGCCGACAGTTTTCTTGAACCGCAAAAAGGGCGTTGGACCAAAGTCCAGAAAGCCCTCGAGGTACACCCGGAATGTCGGTCTGGGATTCAAAACGCCACGTGAAGCCATTGAAGGCACCTACATTGACAAAAAGTGCCCCTTCACTGGAAATGTTTCGATCAGAGGTCGTATTCTCACTGGTGTTGTGCAGAAAATGAAGATGCAGCGGACCATTGTGATTCGCAGGGACTATCTTCATTATATTAGGAAATACAATCGGTTCGAGAAGAGACATCGCAACATGAGTGTTCATCTAAGTCCTGCCTTCAGGTTTGTCCTACATTTATTTACTCAAATATTTAAACTATTATAGGGGAGAGTGGGGTAAAATGGACACTTTAGACGTTTTTTAAATATTCATAATTCAGAAACAGATTTATCAGTTGACCTCGGTCTGAGCTCACAAAGAGGAATCATTGCTCTTTCAATTGAAAAATAAAATTACTCCATTTCATGAACAATTCACCACGTCATGAACATTTAAAAAAAGTCAAGTGTCCATTTTACCCCATCCTCCCGCAGTATATAATGGAATTTATTAAATCATGAGTATGTGATGATGGAATCTGAAGCAAGTGGAATATATGAAGTCTCATTTTAACGCCTGGAAAAATACCTTTGAAATACAAAAAAAAAAAATTACATTTCACTCAGTCAATCTCGAGTTATTGGAGATTAAAAACGATTCACTTTGTTTAGTTTAGTTTGTTGAATTTCCCTACAATACAGTAATTATCTCGTGAATTTTCCATTTTCTGAAGCAACTACTGCAAAATTCGAAAGGATTGAGATTCTTTGTCACCAGAAATGTCTAGTACATTCGCATTTAATCAATTGTTGCATTCAATAAAATATCATGAATTGTTGAGGAAAAATGACCCATTTTAAATCACCAATATTTCCTGAGCAAATGGAACCATTCAAATCAATCAAGAATTTTTAACAAGATATTTTCAAAATGAAAAAAAAAAACTTGTTTCTATTATGATGATATTGACGACGGTCTTCTGAAAGAAATACATGTGAAGATAATTATTCGTCAACTGAATTGAAACTACTAAAATAATCAAATGAATATTTCATTCACTTCATGGTTACTAAAATAATGATTGACAATTTTTGTTTATTATTAAAGGGATGTGGAAATCGGTGATGTCGTGACTATTGGCGAATGCAGACCCCTGAGCAAAACAGTCAGATTCAATGTCCTCAAGGTAACCAAAGGAACTGGATCGAAGAAGAGTTTCAAGAAGTTTTAATTCTACTTTTCAACAGCCGATGGTAATTGTCTCATCATTTTTACTTTTTCCAATTTTCCAATTATAAAATATTGTTTTTGCTAAAGACTTTTAATGATGAGTTTGACGACGGTCTTCTGAAGACAGATTGAACGACACTATCGTCTACTGAATTATTCCCAAAACAATGTTTTATCACTTTATGATTCGTTTCAAAGCAGATTTTGTAATCAATCTGATTTGCTTTGCAGAACGCTTCTGGAGACGATTGAAAAGCGCTGATTGATCATCATTCACCATCACCTGGATTATTCTCTCTGTAAAAACAACTTCTGAAGCCAATGTAAGCGCAATAAAAGAAGGATGGTGAATAAATTTCGATTTCCACGTTTTTCTGATTATCTACTAAAAATCAGTAGCGAACTGGTAAAACGGTGCAAGTCAATTTTGACTATTGACCAGTTTTCAATAAATATCTCGGAATCTAAGGGAGACAGCAAGATTTTCGTTATAACCTTTTTTGTAGAGCCGATTGAGTCCTACAACAAATGTAATTACGAAAATTTCGCCATCTCCCTTAGATTCGGAAATATTCCTCAAAAACTCAACTGGGAGATGAGTCGACTTGAACCGTTTTCTTAACTTAAATCACTTCACTACTGAAATTCTTCCCGTTATTATCAGACTGTTGTTGATAGCAAATTTTAATTAGAGATAGAGACATCCAACTTTACGGAGAAAACAATTTCTGAAGGAAATATAAGCGCAATTTCCACGACTTTTATTTCCTGACGGATAACAAACTGTAGAATGCATCCCATCTCCAGGGTTTGACGTCGTTCGACCAGTACCAGGGTCTTCCACCCCGCTGAGGAAATTTCACAGAGTAGGAGCAGGGCGGGGACCGTAGGGCTGTGAATTTGGACTCTCCAGAGCCCTCTTCACAGTCGAAACTGTACCATTGGATTTTGTGTGCCTTCAAACTCTTGAAAAATAATCTCAATCAATTTTCAATTCAGTAGTGAAGTGGTAAAAGGAGATAAGTCAATTTTGACTATTGACCAGTTTTCAATTAATATCTCGGAATCTAAGGGAGATAGCGAAATTTTTGTTATAAACTTTTTTGTGGAGCCGATTGAGTGCTACAACAAATGTAATTACGAAAATTTCGCTATCTCCCTTGGATTCCGAGATATTGATTGAAAACTGGTTGATAGTCAAAACTGACTTGTCTCCTTTTGCCACTTCGCTACTGAATTTACGTGGGGACGGTGGGGTAAAATGGACACTAGACTTTTTTAACATTATCCATAACTCACAAACAAATTTATTAATTGAGATCAGTTTAGGCTCATCACAAAGGGAAGGATTTGTTGTTTGTATTGAAAAAAAAATTATTAAACTTCAACATTTCAACCCGTCATTAACATTTAAACAAAAATCAAAAGTGTCCATTTTACCCCAGCCTCCCCTAAACTTGGATAACTTACGTTTGTGAGGAGAAATAACACGAAGATGTTGATTGCCAGCATCTTGACCATTTTCCAGAGCTGCACTGAAATCCAATCACTGTTTTCTGGTTTATTCATTGGGCAATTAAACAGGAACATGAAATTTTAATGACCCTTGGAAACAAGCAGTTGTTTGAAGTAATCACTGATTGAGAGACTGGATTTTTTTGTTCCTCTGATTGCGTGACTCAAGAAAGTCGAAAAGCAACAAGCAACAGTTTCAAGTCTTAAAAATATAGTTTATTCTCTTTATCAGTATCAATCAACAAATATAAATCTGTCTCAAAAATTCACTAAAGATATAAAAAATTATCTAACTCTACTCCACCGTTAGAGAGCAGATGATGAAATAATATCATTATTTACTGGCTCTAAGAACAAATATTTCTTTCATCGAATAAACTCTCGAGAGGGGCACAGTGATGGTCCCTATGTTGACAAATAAATCGAGAAAACTTTTTCCAATGGTTATTGTCTGTCAGTCCGTATAAAACTGTTTACCTAATAACAACAATCCTCTACAATTGAACTAACAAAACCACAGCTGCATACTGATAATTTTCTCATTCTTATGAGGAAACATGTCCATCACGTCGGCTCGTGGTTGTGTTCACTCTCAGCGATACAGTAAATATAAATAACAGGTCCTGCACATCCGAGGAGTAGAGAAAATGCCAGGAGATGGATCCAAGACAGACCCCAGTCAGCACCGGAGCATTTGAATGTATCAACAACCCTCGATTCTGCAGTTGCATTCGTACGTTCCCTCAATAACGTGTCATCTTCACCATCACAACAATTCTCCTGCTCAATTCCACTGGCCAGTGGCTCGCAGACTGAATTCAGTATTACACTGTTGATGTCTGTACTCGTCGATGGAACGACTGTCGGTGTTGATATTAAATTAATGATCTCCTCCTCTCTTTTCACGTTCGGACTCTCGTTCTCATTGTTCTCAGGGGGATTTATGTCTATCAAGTTATCACTCGTATCGTTATTCTCGGTGAAGATTGAGAATGGAGGGACTGGAACTTTTATCACTCTACGCGCGAATATCTCGTTCTCTTTGTGGATGTTGTTTATTCTTTTTAGTTCTGATATCTGGAAAATTGAGGGAAGATTAACACGTGTGAAAAAATCGTATGGAAATTTTCTATACGGATATTTTTTATACAAATTATTTCTATACGATTTCTATAGGTTTGATCATATACGACCCACTGCCACACGGTGGCCCGTCTTATTTTCCTCGACATTTTTTCTCCCATTTTTCTTCCCCGAGATTTGTTCCTCTCAAAATTTTCATCGTGTCAATTTTTCCTATGCTACTTTTTCCCCAACTTTTTCTTTCCGATTTTCTGATTCAATTTGTATATTTTGACGTACATTTGGTCAAAATAGTTGTTGATTGTAATGATAAGTGGGAATTGTCCTTCTTTTGTAAGCCTCGACCGAATTACGATAACGCGGTCGTTTATTGATTTCGTTTTTAACTGTAATTCTTTATTCATTTTTGCAATTGACGTCTTGTTTCATCGATGAAACAATGATTTCAATTGATGAAATTCGTAATTGAAATTCTTTGTTTGTCTATTTTGACTGATTGAATTGCATGTAATACTCTGTGATACTGTTCTTGTAATATTTATCTTTTATAAACATGATTATGACTTGTATTAATTTTTTTTCATTCACTTTACTGTTCGTAGGGATTATTATTTGTTCAGGTATCGATGGGAAAAAGAGGAGACAGTTTGTTTTAGGATAACCCGGTCGTTTATTGATTTCGTTTTTGACTGTAATTCTTTATTCATTTTTGCAATTGACGTCTTGTTTCATCGATGAAGAATTGAAAGAAATTAATGAAATTCGTAACTGAAATCGTTTGTTTGTCTATTTTGACTGATTGAATTGCATGTAATATTCTGTGGTACTGTTCTTGTAATATTTATCTTTTATAAACATGATTATGACTCGTATTAATTTTTTTTTCATTCACTTTACTGTTCGTAGGGATTATTATTTGTTGAGGTATCGATGGGAAAAAGAGGAGACAGTTTGTTTTAGGATAACCCGGTCGTTTATTGATTTCGTTTTTGACTGTAATTCTTTATTCATTTTTGCAATTGACGTCTTGTTTCATCGATGAAGAATTGAAAGAAATTAATGAAATTCGTAACTGAAATTGTTTGTTTGTCTATTTTGACTGATTGAATTGCATGTAATACTCTGTGATATTGTTCTTGTAATATTTAATTTTTATAAACATGATTATGGCTTGTATTAATTTTTTTCCGTTCACTTTACTGTTCGTAGGGATTATTATTTGTTCAGGTATCGATGGGAAAAAGAGGAGACAGTTTGTTTTAGGAAAACCCGGTCGTTTATTGATTTCGTTTTTGACTGTAATTCTTTGTTCATTTTTGCAATTGACGTCTTGTTTCATCGATGAAGAATTGAAAGAAATTAATGAAATTCGTAACTGAAATCGTTTGTTTGTCTATTTTGACTGATTGAATTGCATGTAATACTCTGTGATACTGTTCTTGTAATATTTATCTTTTATAAACATGATTATGACTCGTATTAATTTTTTTCCGTTCACTTTACTGTTCGTAGGGATTATTATTTGTTCAGGTATCGATGGGAAAAAGAGGAGACAGTTTGTTTTAGGAAAACCCGGTCGTTTATTGATTTCGTTTTTGACTGTAATTCTTTGTTCATTTTTGCAATTGACGTCTTGTTTCATCGATGAAGAATTGAAAGAAATTAATGAAATTCGTAACTGAAATCGTTTGTTTGTCTATTTTGACTGNTATACGGATATTTTTTATACAAATTATTTCTATACGATTTCTATAGGTTTGATCATATACGACCCACTGCCACACGGTGGCCCGTCTTATTTTCCTCGACATTTTTTCTCCCATTTTTCTTCCCCGAGATTTGTTCCTCTCAAAATTTTCATCGTGTCAATTTTTCCTATGCTACTTTTTCCCCAACTTTTTCTTTCCGATTTTCTGATTCAATTTGTATATTTTGACGTACATTTGGTCAAAACAGTTGTTGATTGTAATGATAAGTGGGAATTGTCCTTCTTTTGTAAGCCTCGACCGAATTACGATAACGCGGTCGTTTATTGATTTCGTTTTTAACTGTAATTCTTTATTCATTTTTGCAATTGACGTCTTGTTTCATCGATGAAACAATGATTTCAATTGATGAAATTCGTAATTGAAATTCTTTGTTTGTCTATTTTGACTCATTGAATTGCATGTAATATTCTGTGGTACTGTTCTTGTAATATTTATCTTCTATAAACATGATTATGACTCGTATTAATTTTTTTTTTATTCACTTTACTGTTCGTAGGGATTATTTGTTCAGGTATCGATGGGGAAAAGACGAGACAGTTTGTTTTAGGATAACCCGGTCGTTTATTGATTTCGTTTTTGACTGTAATTCTTTATTCATTTTTGCAATTGACGTCTTGTTTCATCGATGAAACAATGATTTCAATTGATGAAATTCGTAATTGAAATTGTTTGTCTATTTTGACTCATTGAATTGCATGTAATATTCTGTGGTACTATTCTTGTAATATTTATCTTCTATAAACATGATTATGACTCGTATTAATTTTTTTTTATTCACTTTACTGTTCGTAGGGATTATTATTTGTTGAGGTATCGATGGGAAAAAGAGGAGACAGTTTGTTTTAGGATAACCCGGTCGTTTATTGATTTCGTTTTTGACTGTAATTCTTTATTCATTTTTGCAATTGACGTCTTGTTTCATCGATGAAGAATTGAAAGAAATTAATGAAATTCGTAACTGAAATCGTTTGTTTGTCTATTTTGACTGATTGAATTGCATGTAATATTCTGTGGTACTGTTCTTGTAATATTTATCTTTTATAAACATGATTATGACTCGTATTAATTTTTTTTTCATTCACTTTACTGTTCGTAGGGATTATTATTTGTTGAGGTATCGATGGGAAAAAGAGGAGACAGTTTGTTTTAGGATAACCCGGTCGTTTATTGATTTCGTTTTTGACTGTAATTCTTTATTCATTTTTGCAATTGACGTCTTGTTTCATCGATGAAGAATTCAAAGAAATTAATGAAATTCGTAACTGAAATTGTTTGTTTGTCTATTTTGACTGATTGAATTGCATGTAATACTCTGTGGTACTGTTCTTGTAATATTTATCTTCTATAAACATGATTATGACTCGTATTAATTTTTTTTTATTCACTTTACTGTTCGTAGGGATTATTATTTGTTCAGGTATCGATGGGAAAAAGAGGAGACAGTTTGAGGAAACTCTGTCGGGGAAGAAAGAGAGAAGGAAGAAATGGCAATGGGAAGAAATGTCTGGGAAAAAATATCGGGGAAAAAGTCGTGGAACCCTGCCACACGTATAAAAACATTTCGTGTGGAGTTGCGACATTTCTCTGCGTTTTTCTCTGGAGCGATTAGACATCTTTCGTATGAAAACAAAAATTGACGTAAAAATTTATGTATGGAAATAATTCGTACAGAAATACAAAAATCTTGGAGCTTCTGGTGAATACTCACGGTGCACCGATATCTGAGGGCCAATGCCTGAAGTGTATCCTCAGGCTTCAACGTGACAACGATCACCTCAATCCTCCTGGGTGTCGAATTGGATTTATTCCTCGGTTGGAGGAGGATCTCCTCCTCATCTCCACTCTCATCATCGGAATACAGTAATACATAATGTGGGGAGCCGTCTCTCTGGTTGCCCCTCTGATGAATCGTTTGTCTGATCGGAACGCAATCCTTGAATTCGTTGAACAATCCTTGTGCTTGCAATGTTTGATATCAAATGCTCTTACCTGTTGTTTCCCACCGACTTCTTCCGCATCTTTGAGCTCTACTACTCGATTTTCCCATCAACTTCGGTCAGGATGGTTCTGCATGATCAATGACCCTCTAATCATTGATCATCTAATGTTTGCGTCTGTACGTCACTCTGTCAGACTGAAAATAGGTGAATTGAACACGTATTGGCGAGCGGATTAATTACTCCATACGCTGCACAGCTGGCGCAGGGATTGGCTGTTGCTCTCTCTCTTTTTCTGTTTGTGTAGTGCAGACTCGTCATCGTCTTAACGCAGATAAGCAGATAACTCGGAAGATTTAGCTTGTTATCTGAATAGTGAACGTAAACATGAAACAAAGAGTACACGAAAGAGGAAAAATTCAAAGTGCGGGAATGGATAATCACACGGAATGAGAAAATCGCCTTGTTCTCGACCATTTGCGATGACAATTTTAACAATCAATGAGTTTCATTTCACCAGTACTCAGATATGTTCAGATAGGTATGAGGAGAAGCTACACCTCGCTTCTTGGGTTCGCGAAGAAACCCGAGAGCCACCGAAGCCTCGCGAGCTTCCCATGATGCTCACTACATTCGAATCACGCGCCTGCGCGTGAGGGCGTAATTGCCCCGAAACTCAATTTTTCGAATGATTTTCGAGAAGAATAAGAGACTCCAGGAGGTCCCCTTCCGCTTCGCCCCCCAGTGATCAACAGACGAAACACGAAACACCTTCATCAGTTTACGATTGTTTACGCAGAAGAAGAATGAATAACACTTGGAGCACTGATAAGATCGCGTGACTAGTGCACAATTGTCATGGAAAAAACAAACATGACTGGGGGTAGAAAACGAAATGTCGTTGTCACCGGTTTTGGGCCCTTTGGGGTGCATCCTGTGAACGCCAGCTGGGAAGCTGTCAAATTATTGAAGGAGAGATCGTCGAAAAAACTGAAGGATCTTTACAATATCGACCTGATCATCGAAGCAATCCCAGTCGTTTACGATTACGTGGCTTCGAGGATACCCGAGATTTGGAAGGAGCACGATCCATTGGTAATTAAGTAATTAAGGCCCTCGTGGATTACCTTTCGAACGTTATCTCGATTATTTTTCCATCTTCATAATGTAAAATATATCATGACATCCATTGGATTTTACATGACGCAGGAGTCCCCAAAAATTATGATTGTACAAAAAAAATATAGAAAAAAAACTGCATTTTCAAAGAGCGTTTTTAATAAAGATTAAGAAACAGCGATAAATCGACAATTATATTCCATTTGTAATATTTCGTAATATTATCAGAATTTGCACCTTTTTATTACTATAATTTTATTATCTTACTTGCATGATTGTATCTTACTAAAGTATGAAAATAATTCAGGATTTAAATTTTCTATCAACTACTGAGTAAATAATTATTAATTTCATAAAAGGATTTTTCAATTAGACATGTAATGGTCAAACTTCTGACACGATTACTGGTTGATAGATTATTTCGTTATTTAAATATTCGATGAATGATTAATTTGGTGATTGAAAATTGTTGGGTAATATCATCACTTAACAGAAGCTAAATTCAACTTATTTTGAAATTGACAATTGTTCTGATCCCTGTTAAGAAGTAAGTCCGATAGAGGAAATAGTGAATGGATAATTTATCGTGGTAACTAACGATCTGATAGCCATTGACTACTGTGACAAATGACGACCTAACAGCCATTAGATACATCAAATTATTAATTTGCAATTTCCTCCCAATTGGGTTCATTCCCCGATATTATTCAAAAACACTCTTTGAAAACTTTCAGCTTTTTTTCAACGTTTTTTTGATTGTACAATCGTAATATTTGGATACTCCAGGGCTCCACTAAATAATAACTGAATAGCAATTGGAGATCACTTGAAATGATAAAAATAAAAAAACAACCAAGATCACGTTCGAAAGATGATCCCCCCGGGCCTTAATTCAAAATTATGATTATGCCGATGTCTGAACATAATAAGTTATAGAGAAAAATCAACATCTGTAATTTTTTTTTACCAAGCAATAACCAACTATTGAAAATTGCAAGATAATTGCAAGGGAATTATGTAACTTTACCTTATTAATTATTTAATTATTAAGCTTTAATTATTTTTGTGAAAATTATGCAACTTTACCTTGCAATTTTCAATAGCATTAGCGCCAAAAGCAAATGCAATTTTGCAACAGAATTCGAATAGAACTCCGATAGAAAAAATTTTTTATAAGAGCACTGCAATTTATTTTCCTCAGTCATTCAGTAATGCTCCTTTCATAATTCTCCCATTACTCTGAAAAACGACAGAATTTCCCTGAAAAATAAAAGAACTGGATTTTTGGAAAATTACCATTCTCATCCCATACAATTAACTGAAAATACCTTTTATTCATTTTTTTATTATCACTCCACTTTTTCGTGTCCTTAAACAATTTTTTTTCAGTTCGTTGTACACGTGGGGGTCTCCGGCAAAGCTAACTGTGTAACGATAGAGAGCCATGCCTCCAGCAGTGGATATACGAGAAGAGATGTTGTCGAAAAATGCCCGAATGACTGTGGAATGGCATGTACAAGGCTCAGTGTTGGCTTGGATGTCAACGCAATTTGTCAGAACGTTAAAGATAAGTTCAATTGTGACATCTGCGTGTCAGACGATGCTGGGAGATACCTCTGTGAATACACGTTGTATCAATCACTAGCCATCGAGCAGCATCGAACATTGTTCGTTCATGTGCCTGATCTTGACTGCTATTCCTCGGAGGAAACTGAACGTGGAATTTTCGGGGTCATCTGTTGTTTAATCGAGAGTCTTGGAGAGTAATTGAAAATTTTTGATGCCTCAGTTGTGGATCGTTCGACCGATTTTGATAATTATTTTGTATTCTCCAATTTCAGAAAGCAATTTGTATTTTTAGATCTATCAATAAATTTTCAAATTATAATTCTCCTTTTGTTGTTCCGTCAGTTTTTTATTTGATTCAGTAATTGATTCGAATTTTTGAAGAATTTTTTTATATCAATCTTCACATTGTTGAACGATGAATTGAGGGATTTATTCAATCAATTCTTTGATAATCTCCAAGTTTTTAAAGCAATTTGCATTTTTTGATCAAATTTTAAAATAAATGATAATTAAATTAAGTTTGTCAACGAATCATTAAGCTCTAAGTTTTAATCTTCTATGGGTATTTTTCTCTTTCTCATTCGATGAGACACTGAGTTCTTTTGAGCTTCTTTGATAGTCTTCAATCTACAAATCACTAATCATCAAGCAACATCGAACATTGATCCCTCAGTTGTTGATCTTTCGAGTGATTCCGATAATTATTTTGTATTCTCCAATTTTACAAAGCAATTTGTATTTTTAGATCGATCAATAAATTTTCAAATTATAATTTTTCTTTTGTTGTTCCGTCAGTTTTTTATTTGATTCAGTAATTGATTCGAATTTTTGAAGAATTTTTTTATATCAATCTTCACATTGTTGAACGATGAATTTAGGGATTTATTCAATCAATTCTTTGATAATCTCCAAGTTTTTAAAGCAATTTGCATTTTTTGATCAATTTTTAAAATAAATGATAAGTAAATTAAGTTGGTCAACGAATCATTAAACTCTAATTTTTAATCTTGTATTGGTATTTTTCTCTTTCTCATTCGATGAGACACTGAGTTCTTTTGAGCTTCTTTGATAGTCTTCAATCTACAAATCACTAATCATCAAGCAACATCGAACATTGATCCCTCAGTTGTTGATCTTTCGAGTGATTCCGATAATTATTTTGTATTCTCCAATTTTACAAAGCAATTTGTATTTTTAGATCGATCAATAAATTTTCAAATTATAATTTTCCTTTTGTTGTTCCGTCAGTTTTTTAATTGATTCAGTAATTGATTCGAATTTTTGAAGAATTTTTTTATATCAATCTTCACATTGTTGAACGATGAATTTAGGGATTTATTCAATCAATTGTTTGATAATCTCCAAGTTTTTAAAGCAATTTGCATTTTTTGATCAATTTTTAAAATAAATGATAAGTAAATTAAGTTGGTCAACGAATCATTAAACTCTAATTTTTAATCTTGTATTGGTATTTTTCTCTTTCTCATTCGATGAGACACTGAGTTCTTTTGAGCTTCTTTGATAGTCTTCAATCTACAAATCACTAATCATCAAGCAACATCGAACATTGATCCCTCAGTTGTTGATCTTTCGAGTGATTCCGATAATGATGTTTTATTCTCCAATTTTACAAAGCAATTTGTATTTTTAGATCGATCAATAAATTTTCAAATTATAATTTTCCTTTTGTTGTTCCGTCAGTTTTTTATTTGATTCAGTAATTGATTCGAATTTTTGAAGAATTTTTTTATATCAATCTTCACATTGTTGAACGATGAAGTTAGGGATTTATTCAATCAATTGTTTGATAATCTCCAAGTTTTTAAAGCAATTTGCATTTTTTGATCAATTTTTAAAATAAATGATAATTAAATTAAGTTTGTCAACGAATCATTAAGCTCTAATTTTTAATCTTCTATGGGTATTTCTCTCTTAAGTATTATATGCTCATTCAATGAGACACTGAGATCCTTTGATCGATTTTTTGATAATCTTCAACTTCTTAAAACTATTCGCGAGAGCAACGCCTCCTTCAAGTGTTTAATAATCTTCACGCTTTTAAAGCAATTTGCATTATTTGATCAATTTTTAGAGTCGAAAATAAAACAATCCGCATTTCTAGACCAAATTTCAAATTTTTAGATCATCAGTTTGTCCTTGTTCTCACCAACTACCCAATAATCTCAAAACTTCCAAGAACTTCCTCTCTTTAAATCAAAATTCGACCTCAAAAAAAAACGCTACTAAATCAAAATCTCGTTTTTCTAAACCTAACAATTGCTTAAGTTTCTACTGAGAATCGAGAATTCGTCAACGAATCTTCGCCCTCTGTGTTGTCAACTCTCTCCAGAGAAATCCTAAATCTTTCTGAATGAATAGCTGCAAAGGAAACAGTCACATTACTAGTCTCCTTCTCCATTCATTTGATCTGTCTCTTAAAAAGTACTCACAGAATATTTAATGAGCCGCGACTCCTCCAGGCCGTGAACGACTCCAATACACTAAATCCTAAGCATCACTTCCCTGGGCTGAGGACGTCCTGCGGCTCCTCAGGCATGGAGTTCTCCTTATTCTCCTCCAGGAACTCCTCGCTCCTCACTTTCCTGATTTTCGGAGTGACTTGTCCCTCAGTCTCATCAACACTCCCATTTTCCTTCCATTCAGGGGTCCTGGGACTACCTTCTCCATCTGCATCTTGCTTCTTAGGAGAATCTCCTTTCCCAGGAACCTTCCCATCATCTTTAGTGGGATTAATAATTTCATTACCACCCCCAGCCTCTTGATTTCCTTTCTCATCCACAGGTGTCTCTCCAGGAGCCTCAAGATCACTTCTACCTGCAGCATCTGGATCCCTCCCTTCGTCAGAACCTCCTCCTTCCCCACCCATTCCCACATTTTCTTTGGGGGAAGGATTACTTCCATCACTGTTACCCTCAGTGTCATCTCCATCGACGAACGTCCCTTCCTCCTCAGTGGAGCAGCTGTCCTCCACATAGTCCTCGTCCCTCTTGTCATTATCCTCAACATCCTCTTCACCATCCCCAGCTTCACCACTTGCTTCTCCGATATGTTCAGGGTCCTGGGGATGTTGATTTACTTTGAGCTCCTCTCTCTTCTGTGCCAGCATTGCCAGTCCCCTGGTGACGATGGCACTCTCCGTTTTCTTGTAACTCCTCGTCTGTAATTGAAGCAACAATAGTTCGAGAGGAGTAGTCGAGAGGGAAGTGATAAACAGACATCTTGTAGTCATAAATTTTAAGTTAAGGTCCGGGTGGGTTATTTTTTTAACGTGATCTTCGTTGTTTTTTTATTTTGATAATATGAAATGATCTCCAATTGCTATTCAGTTTTACATTGCCCGGGAGTCTCCAAAAATTATGATTGTAAAATATAAAAAACGGTGAAAAAAAGCTGAACATTTTCAAAGGGCGTTTTTTAATAATATTGGGAAATAAACCCAATAGGGAGGAATTGCAAATTAATAATTTGATGTATCTAATGGCCGTTGGGTCGTCATTTGTGACAGTAGTCAGTGGCTGTCAGATCGTTAGTTACTATGATAAATTATCCATTCACTATTTCCTCTCTACCGGACTTATTTCTTAACCTTTATTAAAAATGCTCTTTGAATTATTAGATTAATCATCAAATAAATTAAATATTTTATCAATCAATAATTGAGTTCGGAAGATTGACGATTATTTGACTGATCGAGAGAAAAATTTTTACGAAATTTAGAATTATTTAGCCAATTGTCAATTGATAATATCATATTGTCAATTATTTTATTTACTTTTCAAATTTCAGTAGAGATATGTGAACCTGAATTATTTTAAGGCGCAACTGCTCTTAATATTAATAATATAATGATTGATGTCGATCCCTGGGGATCAAACACGAGGTGCAGCATGAATTCTTTCTTTATTTTTAGTTTTTTCTTCAGTAATTCTTCGATGAATTTGGCTGAATGTAAAGAAATACTGAAATCTGTGTAAACTTTTTTTTTGCAGAGCAAAATGAGAGTTAGGAGAGACATTTATTTAATAATATGAACACAGGTTCAAGTCGAAGTTTTTTCCACACCAGGGATGGCCCTCGTGACCCTCGTGACCAGGGATGGCAATAAATATTAAATTTCATCAGTATTAAAGGAATTTGCGAATTACATTGGTAAAGGTTTAAATATTCTCATCAAAATATAAAAACAGCATGATATTAATAATTCAAATTAGTGATTGATGATGAATTAAATATTTGATAATACAGGACTGTGAATTTTCCATTAAGTAAATAATTCAAATTTCTTAAAAGAGATTACCAATTCAGTAGTGAAGCGGTAAACCGAGTTAAGTCGATTTTCACTATTAGCCAGTTTTTGCTGAATATCTCGGAATCTAAGAGAGATAGCAAAATTTTTCTCATGACTTTTTTTATAACGCTCTATTGGTTCTACAAAAAAGGTTATGACAAAAATCTTTCTATCTCTTTTAGATTCCGAGATATTCGTCAAAAACTAGCCAATAGTAAAAATCGACTTAACCCGGTTTACCGCTTCGCTACTGAATTGACCAAATAATCGGCAATCTTCCTCCCTAAATTACTCAATTCACGTATTTAAATTGACGATTACTAAAATAATTGAAAATTTACGAATGGTGTTAACTAAATGACAGCTTCAAAATTTAACGGTAATTACGATTTACGAATATGGCTATCTCTGCTCCTCACCATTTTCCTGTTCTTTTTACGAAAAAGCTTTGAAAATGTCCTTCGAATCATAAATCACTCACTTTTCTCTTGCCACGTGTCTCCTCATCCTCATTATCCGAGACGTCAGCAGCAGACGACAACGTGTCATTCTCGCCCCCACTGGAGCCATGTTCCTTGTAGATCCCTCGAGGTCTCTTAGCCCCTCTGCTCCTCGTGTTGTAGCTCACCCCAGTCTCCTCCTCCTCGTCATCATCGGAGGATGCCTTTCTCTTTCTCGTGGCTACTTTCCTTCTCTTCTTCGGCTGCTGAATCTCCTCCTCGTCATTCGTCGACGAGGCACGTCTCTTCTTCTTCCTAGAGGTCTTTACCGGCTTCTCCTCTTCAAAAGAGTTTCCCTCCCCTTTCATCAGATTTTCAAGCTGAAAAATGCAGCAAAAATTGAACAAATTGGCAAAAGATAACATGAGTAAAGAATAATTATTTCATAGTTACTCTTCAGAAAGAATAATAATAATAATAATAATAATAATAATAATAATAATAATCAAATAATATAATAATAATAATAATAATAATATAATAATAAAGAATAATTATTTTTCATAAAGAATAATTATTTTTCATTCTCACAAATGAAAAATTCAGTAGAAAAATAGTTGATTTTTCTGTAGAACATTCTCTTGGGTTTTTTTTGTATTAGAATTCTTAGGCACGAATGGTCCAATTTTTTTTTTCTTGGAATTTATTATGAGATGCGATCAAAAATTCAGTGGAAAAAAGTTGGAAAATTTATGCCCAAAAGACACAGAAAAATCGACACTTATTGAATGTTTTCTATCAAATATCCATCAGAACATGACACCGTAAAGTTAAAACACCGTAAATTCTTTTCTAGGGGAGGGTGGGGTAAAATGGACACTTTTTTTTTTAATATTCATAAGTGAGAAAGAGATTTATCAATTGAGCTCAGTCAAAGCTCATCCCAAAGGGGAAGAATTGGCCTTTCAATTGAGAAATAAAATTATTCCATTTTATGAGTAGTTCAGCACGTCATGGACATTTAAAAATAATGAAAACTGTCCATTTTACCCCACCCTCCCCTATAAATTTTCCAAGTTTATTTTAAATTTTACTATGACACGGGCTTACGAAGGCATTTCGTTCCTGAATGTTCTTCTGGATCATCCTCTCGTACTCAGTCATCTTGGAACCAGTCTGTTTCTTCTTGGTGGGCCTCGTCGTCCTCGTCTTTCCTTTCTTCCCTTTTTTACTAGTCTTCCTCTTCTTCACCTCCACCTCTCCACTGTCGTCCTCCGACTGTGAGCTAACTGGCTGGTCCGATTGGGAGCTCACTGATGTTTTTGAAGAGCCAGATCTCTTGGAAGAAGTGGGTGAAGGGCATGGCGATTGGTATTTTGCTGGTTCTTTCCTCGTTCTGGTGCTCCTCCTGACAGTCACATCTACTCCCCCAGGCGATCCACTCCCCCTCTGTCTCTCGGTCTGACTGATGGCAGTCTCATCGTCCTTAACATCCAGAATCTTTGACATTCAGATCAGATAAACAAAGGCATAACGATGAGAATTTCACTGAAGGTTAGGGAAGAAGAGGACAAAATCATCGTCTTCAATCGTCAATAACTCAGGATCGGCAGAGTGAAAATCTATATTTTTTCCTTCATTTTGAAGGTATTTTTTGAGGCTTCAAAATGAGATGTGACTTGTCTCAATCGTATCGTTGGGTCAGGAGATATCGACGATTTAAGAGGGCTGCAAATTCTGAGAATTCTGGACATTTCGGGGAATTTTACTCACAACTGCTGAATTCCTCGATTCCTCTGCATCCGACGACCTCGTCTTCCTCCTAGTTACCATGTTTACTTTTCAGAGTAATGAAATAGAACTGAGAATTCTTCGAAACGAATCTAAACGCCGGCAGAATGTCGACAGTCGATCGAATGCTCGCAGCGACCGTTATTGAAAAAATTTCCAGTCTCTTCTTCGGTCCAACGTATAAACTGTCATGAGACAAAGGATTCCAATCCAATCAAATCCTTGTTCTTGTTCTTATTACTGAATTTGCATTCGTGATTGGGGGAGACTGGCGCGCCAATGGAATTCCACCAATGGGAATCGAAATGCTCAAATGATTCGAAATTCAAAATTGGAATTTTTTTTTCTTTAACATTTCTTCTTTTTTCCCTGCAATATTCACTCTTTTGTCTCTTTGAAGAGTAATATCAGTCGATTATTTAATAATAGCATTAAAAATATTGTCTATATATTTTTAACGACATAATCATAGTAATTGTTAACATAATTAATTTTGTTTTCATGTTTGTTTGACATTTCTGTGATTAGTCGTTTCCATTTGCAGTTGATTTTGATGAAGATAAAAAAATAGTACCACTATGGTTATTAATGAAATGATAATTGATTTATTAATTAATCGTCGGGTATAAAAATGTTGTTTTGTTGGTTTGAATAATTATTGATCACCTTTGTGAAATTGGGTTCTCACTGGTGTGATATTATTTTTTAATTCTCTGGAATAAGGCTTTCTCAACATCTCCGCAACGTGCCCCATCTGGATTGTGCAGTCTAGGTGGAGATTCGGGGGGAGGAGGGTGCATTCACGCTCGAATATCGATGCCAACCCTTCCAGGAGTTCGACGAAACCCATGGATAGGGCTGCACGTCTCAATCTATTCAATTCCTAGAAAAAAAAAATTGTTTCAATTTTTTGTAGCAAATTTTCTGATCTGAAGTGAAGAATTCTTGACATTTTCTCCTAAAATTATTCGTTATCAAGATAATTATGTAATTAATGAGAATATTTAATGTTAAATGGACTTTTTGGATATTTATTTTTATAAAAATGCACAGATGACTTTAGAAAAACTATTACTTTACTACTTATTTTTGGTAAAAATTGAATGCATTCATGAATAAAATTCTCGATAATGGTTATGTCACTCTATAAAAGTTCGTAAAGCGTGATTTCAAGAACAAAATATCAACCATTTTTAAAAATGAAGATTTTCCTAATTCAACAGAAATTTCTTCTGACATTTAGTCCTAAATTTCATTATCGGAATTAATACCAACCTACATAATAACATATTAAGCTTATTTTCATAAAAATAAGCTTAAATTTATGAATTTCAATTTTTTTATTTCTCATCATTTTTTCATTTTTCATAAAAATAAAAATAAGCTTAAATCAGCTTAAATAAGCTTAAATTTATGAAAATGTGAATACATTCAAGAATAAAAATCCCAAAAACTGTTCCTTCACCTTATAGAAGTTCTGGGTCTTCTCCGGCAGTTTTCTGGCATGTCTGAGGATCTTCTGAATATCCGACTGCAGTCCAACTTGTCTGATCCACGACGGAGCATTCTGCGAGTAGCTCCTCTTCTCAGCCGGCTTCAACGGAAAACTCAAGACCTCCACACTCTTCGAAGCTGCATCGATGGTCCCCAAGTGGTTGAAATTCCCCAGCCAGGGCACAACGTCGCAGCCTGGCTCCAGCAGTGTCAGCATGAGATTCGATTTTTTCTTGGTGTCTGCCCAGGAGTAGATGAAGCCGTACCAATTGTTGTTCAACAAGCATAAGGCTGCCATGTTCTCTACTTTCAGTGCTCCGTGGAGGAGCACGCAGAATGAAGGAGATCTCCCCTCGTCCCCATAATCCTCAGCGTCTGAGTCCTCGTCCGGGGAAATGCCCTGCATACTCGGGGTTTTTTCGGTTGGCAGGGGGAGGATCAGGTGCCTGGAGATTGAGCTTGGACTGCCTACGTCTGCTACTGAGATGAAGCCACAGATTTCCAGGGTTTTCGAGAGGGTCAGTCCGGACAGCAATTCAAAATCTGTCTTTTTTGTGTATGACTGGAATTCAATATGTCAAATTAATCAATAGGGATGATTAATTTCATGATCTCAGGATGATTTTACGCACGAAAAAATTTAATAGAAAAATCCGTCGAATTCGTTAGAAACTTCTATTGAATGTCTATCAAACTTTCTATTAGTTTTTGGCTGATTCTATTGTCATGTTCAGTAGAAAACATTTAATGGAAAAAGTCAACAGAATTCAATTATTCTATGTAACTTATTCTTTTCCTACATTTTGTATACAATTTGCTCGACTCAAATTGTTTGAGTTTTTTTCATTCTATTTTTATTTTCTTCTCATCAAGAAAATCAAATTAAAAAAAAATTTGAGCCGAGGAAATTCTATAGAAAATATCTCAATAGAATAAGTTATATAGAAAAATTAAATTCTGTTGACTTTTTCTACTGAATATTTTGTATTGAACATTTCAATAGAATCGGCCAAAAACTAATACAACAGTTCAATAAAAATTCGATAGAATTTTCCAACGAGTTCGATAGGTTTTTCTATTAAATTTTTTTGTCCGTGTTTTTCAATTCCGAATGGAAGCTTTGTGATCGGTCGATTATTTGATTCTCTAATTTTCCTTGGAAATGACTTGGAATATCATGAAATGTCGAGACACGATGGTTTTAGAGAATGTCTCTGCGTATGCTCATGTGTGCGTACAAAATTCTGAGAATTTTTTGTTATAAATTTTCACAGAAAAGAGGGACTAAAGTGATAGATAAAAATCTGAAATTTTGTTGCTCATTTTTTTCTGATCTCAAGGTTCAATCTTAAGACCTGGTTCAAGTGACTAATTTTTTTTAAGGCTTAAATGATCACGCACGAAAAAATTTAATAGAAAAACCTAGCAAATTCACTAAACAATCAATTCAATTGGATTCCCATTGAACTGTCTATGCAACTTATTCTATTGAGATATTTTCTGCAGAATTTCTTCTTTTTAAATTTTCCAAATTTGTTTTCATTTCATTTTTCATTTCTTTTTAGCAAGAAAATCTAACAAAATTTTAGGTGGTATTGTCTTGGGATAAATAAAAGATGGAGCAGTGATGGGAAGAGTGAACAAATACCATTGGAGGAGGAGATAGAAGAATTCTGGATCCCAAATTTCCACACTTCAAATATCCTTGGAAAGAAACGTAGTTGGCCTCTGCTAATTTCTGGAAGCAATTGTTGACTGTTGTCTTTGAAAGCTGTCCATCAGGTACGAGAACTCCACTCTCTCCACCAGCTAAATCCACCAGTCGTTGATAAAGGGGCAATCCATACTTCAGTCCAGAGTCTAAAGACACACAAAATTCTTGGTTCAAAGGAGCAAACGTCTTCTTCGCATCAAATTGATAAAAGCAAATATGGACAAATGTCAAACGTGAGAAGCAACACGTTTGAGCGAGTTTAATTAGAAAATCCTAGCTCTTTCTCTAGGAAATTGACTTCAAAGTCAATAGTCTATTGGAATTCTATTCGAATTTTCTTGAAAGATTCTATTTGTTTTTTGCGCCAATTCTATTAAAAAATTATGCAACGTTTCCCCGCGTTTTTAAGTAGATATTTGTTTATTGAAAAATGTCTATAGATGTCTGCAGTTTATAGACGATTATTTATTTTAAAAAAGTAATTATCATGATTAATACAAGTGAATTCTAATTCTGAAGTTTTTACTTTCTGATATCTAATTTGAAACATCACATCTTTACACTCATTTCAATAGAAATATTGGACTAATGACGTGTTCACCTTAGCTGAATCAGCGTAGGATCATTTACGTATTTGTTAACAAAATTATGCGTTAGAGTTGCTTAATCTTCTGTAGAAATGTCGCAAAAAAAAAGAATTCATATAGGGGAGGTTGAGGTAAAACGGACACTTTTGACTTTTTTTAAAATGTTAATGAGGGGTTGAAATCTTGATAAAATTTAATAATTTTTTTTTTCATGCAAAGAACAATTCTTTTCCTTTGTGACGAGTCTAAACTGAGCTCAATTAATCAATTTGTCTCTGAATTATGAATAATTTTTAAAAAGTCTTAAGTGTACGTTTTACCCAACCCTCCTCTACGGCTTTTCAATCTTTAAAAAGAATAGAATTCTAATAAAACTCCACGAGAAATCCAATAGAATATCTTAGAAACAGATCTAGGTTTTTCTACTAAATATTTTTAACATTCACACATGAAAAAAATAAATGGATAAATATTTAACATTTAACAGAAAAAAAATTTGAATGCGTCTTTGTTAAAATCGAAATTCTCTCCATAACGAGTGATTTTACAAGAAAATGTCAAAAGACAATTTTGTAGCTGAGGAAATTTTCAACAAAAAAGGTTTCTTAACATTTTCCTTTAGCGCGACTCGTTGTCAAGGTAATTGAAGAATTTATTAGTGAGTCAAAGAAAGATTTTCACCTTGTGGAGCTGCAATACAGACAATATTCAGTTTTCCCGGGTAGGGAAAGGGCAGGGGGAATGGATTGGACTCTCTTTCGAGGTGCATGTTGTTCAGGGAATGTCCCAGGGACATTGGTCCAACGCCTGGATTGCCATCGGTGACCAGGATAACTTGGCAGGCAGTCGTGTTTCCCCACTCTGACATGACTACTGTGTTAATCCCATGGAGAGCAGTTTCTATACAAGTTTTGTCGCGCTCTTCAATCGACTGCAGTCTCGACCTTATCATGTCGTAGTCTCGGGTAAAGGGACACAGCATTTCGTACATTGATGAGAATACCACCTATTGGAGGGGGATAATAGAAGCACGAATGAAAAAATTTAACAGAAAAACCTAGTGAATTCGTTAGAAAATTCTGTTGAATTTCGATTGAACTTTCTATTAGTTTTTGGCTGATTCTACTGAAATGTTCACTAGAAAATATGCGATAGGAAAAGTCAACAGAATTCTATTTTTTTATATAACTTGTTCTATTGAGATATTTGTTATAGAATTTCCTCGGCTCAAATTGACTCAGTTGTTTTCATTCTATTTTTCTTTTCCTCTCGTCAAGAAAATCAAACAAAAAAACTTGGAAAATTTATTTGATTTTCTTGATTTGTTCTGTTTGATTTTTTTTTTCATTCTATTTTCATTTTCTTCTCATCAAGAAAATCAAACAAATTTTCCAAATTTTTTTGTTTGATTTGAAAATCAAACAAATTTTCCAAATTTTTTTGTTTGATTTTCTCGATGAGAAGAAAATAAAAATAGAATGAAAATAATCTAGAAAATTTGAGCCGAGGAAATTCTATTGAAAAGATCTGAAGAACAGTTATATAGAAAAATCGAATTCGCTAGATTTTTAACGAATTGGTTGATAAGATTCATATCAATTTTTTATTTAGAAATTTATCTTATGCGCAAACTCGGTTGAAGATTGGCCAAAAGGTGGATGATTTTTAAGACAGATTCCAGTTTGGGAAAAATTCGGGTAAAAATTGATGATTTCGATTTCGAAAGATCATCATCGCGAATGAAAACAAATTAATACAAAAACCTAGCGAATTTGCTAGACAATTCTATTGAGCTTTCTATTAATTTTTGGCAGATTCTGTTGAAATGTTCAATAGAAAATACTCTATAGAAATTTCCAAAAGAATTTGATTTTTCTATCCAACTTATTCTATTGAGATATTTTCTATAGAATTTCCTCGGCCCAACTTTTCCAAATTTTTTGTTTGATTTCCTTGACGAGAAAAAAAATACAGAAAAAAATGAAAAAACCTAGAACATTTGTGCGGAGGAAATTCTATAGGAACTTCTATAGACAAAACCCTGATAAATTTATGCCGAAGAATTTCTACAGAAAGTTAAACTCTACCAACAAATTTCCATCGAATATTCCATAAAAAAAAACGATTTAAAAACTATTTTTTGGGTTCCATAAAATGCCACAATTGTCCCTAAAACCGACGTAAAACAATCAGAATTGCAAAAGAACTCCGAATAAAAGTGCAAATAGAATTCCCATAAACCTCCAAATTATCTCCACAACGAGTGATTCTAGGAAAAAACCCCAAAGAACATGTTTCACGGAAAATTTCATCAGCTACAAAAAAGTCTATTGACATTTCTCGCTGAATCCCCTAGCTCCAAAAATATCCCACATTCTATGACACCAAATACCAAACCTTTCCCCACAACTCATTCCCAAAAATTCCAATGAGGCTTTTAATTCCAACTTGACTTACCAACGACACAAACTCGAGTTTAGAATTGACTTGCAAATAATGAAGGAGATGATTGATGCCCTGCACAGCGAGGTGATGCCTCGTCAGTACTTCACTGGGAGGCACATCATGTCCTGTCGAGGGGACAGGACGTCTCATCGACAGGGAAACGTCCAGAGCTATCACTGTCGGCATTTTCCCTTTTTCATTAAGCGATTCCCTCAATCATGAAAAAAGTTATTCGTCAGCACTCGAGATCATCGACACGTCTCATCACCAACGACGAAGCCAAACAACTCCAACTATTCTCCAACTATCGCATTACTCACTGCAGTTTCTCTTCCAATTATTCATCAATAATTCACTTTGACTCTCAATTTAATTAATTATCACTTCCCACTGATCAGTAAAAATTCAACTGTATTTTTTTTAATTTTCGCGTGTTGTTTTCGGGACAACAACGATCAACATCAATGAACATTGATGAACACATCGAAGAAAATTGAGGTTATGTTCCCCAAATGGTGCCTCAAGTGCACCTGAATGCGTAGAGTCATGAGACATGTCAAATGTTAATGTCTCATTAACAATTACACAGCACTACGATGGAAACACGTTTTGCTCACATTTTTGGGGCTTTTTTCTCTGTTAAATTATTTTATTAAATTATGGAGGGAATTTGTAAGGACGTGATATTGTGCAAGGGAGAGAAGGCAGCGAACGAAGGTCAAGACTCCTACGTCAAGGTGTTCGAGGGGGCTGGCTACAGCTGTCAAGTCCTGTCGACTCTGTCCTTCTCGTTCGTGAACGCCCAGAAATTGCGAGATCGCCTGGAGACGCCTGAATCATACTCCGGTAGACGTGACAATGGACTGTTACTTTGCTCCAAAAATTTTATTCGATGATGACGCACGAAAATTTAAAAGAAAAACCTATCGAATTCGTTAGAAAATTCTATTAAATTTCTATTAAACTTTCTATTAGTTTTTGGCTGATTCTATGAACATGTTCAATAGAAAAAGTCAACAGAATTCGATTTTTCTACATAACTTATTCTTTTCATACATTTTCTATAGAATTTGCTCAACTCAAATTTTCCAAGTTGTTTTCATTCTATTTTTCTCTTCTTCTCATCAAGACAATCAAACGAAAAAAGTTGGAAAATTTCAACCGAGGAAATTCTATAGGAAATATCTCAATACAATAAGTTATACAGAAAAATTGAATTCTATTGATTTTTTCCACTGAATATTTTCTATTGAACATTTTAATAGAATCGGCCACAAACTAATAGAACAGTTCAATAGAAATTCAATAGAATTTTCTAACGAATTCGATAGGTTTTTCTATTAAATTTCTTCGTCCGTGATATCTCGAGGTTTTGTTTCTCAATGTTGATTACAATGTTTCGCATGAGTCAGGGGCATCTCAATGTCTTCTGTCACGAGGAAAACCTCAATTTGTTGGTTGGGACACGCAGGAAAATAATTAATGGAAAACCCTGGGGAATTCACTAGACTATTCTATTGGATTTCTATTAGTTTTTGGCTGATTCTATTGAAATGTTTATAGAATAAAAAATATTCTATAGAAAAATTTGATAGAATTCGATTTTTTATACAACGTATTGAGATGTTTTATTGTATTGAAATGTAGAATTTCCTCGGCTCAAATTTTCAAATTTTTTAGTTTCATTTTTTTGATGAAAAGAAAAGAAAAAAATGTAAAAAATGAAAAAAAATATCAAATTGTAGCGAATTCACTAGATTTTTCTATTGAATTTATTCCTTCATGAATTTTTAATCAATTAATTTTTAAAAATTCATCAAATTCAATACAATTGAAATTGAAAAAAATTTGAATGACGATTTGACGCAATTCAAGCAAAAAAAAAATTTTATCAACGTTTTTTTTCATTAAATTTTGTGTATTAACTTTTTGTATTATTAGGAATACTGATGGGAATAATAATGTAAGCAGTAATGCAAAACAAAACAAAATCCAGCGGAAAAAACTTGGAGAATTTGTGCCGAATAATTTCTAATAGAAAAAATCGAAAGAGAAAAATTCGAACTCTATTGACTTTTTCTTATCGAATATCTAATAGAATCCGTGCAAACAACAAATAGAATTTTTCAACAGAACTACAATATAAATCCTATAGAAACCCCATAGGATTCCAATAGAATTTTCTAGCCAATTCGCAAGGTTTTTTATTGATTTTTTTCATACGTGAATTCCTCTGGACTTTGCTGTTTCATTTTCTTTTCCATTAATCCGTTGACACAATCTTCTCCCGTCAAAACTTCTCAATAACGTTCCATTCTACTGAATGGAAAATTATTATTCTCATCACTACTCCCAATAATAAAGTCATTTAAAAAAAATAGTCGATAAAAAACTATTCTTCGACTGTTCCATTTTGCTCCACTCTCCCCTATTAATTATCAGTAGATCAATAATCAGAAGAAAAACGACCAATTAAACGAAAAACCATTGTAATATCCACCTATTTGATAGTAAATACCCCACTGTTGGTTACTACATAAATTTAAAAAATTCTCTGTCATTTTTACAGGTTTAATTTTCACGAGTCAGAGATCAGTAGAAGCCATCAAGCACTGCTTGGCAGATAATCCCTTGAGTCCCCCCTGGAGGGAGTTGCCAGCCTACTGTGTGGGTCCAGCAACCGAAAATCTAGCAAAAAATGCTCTTGATCTAGCCAACTGCGTGGGCTCGCGAAGTGGCAACGCCCAGGAGCTAGCGAAATTCATAATATCTCGCCATACAAATCGAGATCAGCCACTGCTGTATCCCTGCAGTGGCATCGCTCGTGAAACAGTCCAACAGATGCTGGAGGAGGCTCAAATATCTGTGGAAAAAATAACGGCCTATGAAACTCTGCCCTCAGAAACCCTAGAGGACGATCTGTTGGATATTGTGAAAGAATCCCAGATTGTTGTTTTCTTCAGTCCCTCGAATGTCAAAAATGTGATAGCTATTGCTGAAAAGAACAATTTGACTGGTGGGATGAGACCTGTGGCTATCGGCCCTGTGACAGCAGAAGCTATTGAAGATCGAGGGCTCAGGATTTATGCCACCGCAGCTAAACCAGACCCTCAAGCTCTCTTAAAATCTGTACAAGATGCAGAGATTGGGATTATTGATTAATGATCTTGTGAATGCAGAATAAATTGTGATGAAATATTTTATTCAAAAAAACGTTACGATTATTGTCAGTCGTCAACTGGTGCTCATGATTAATTTGTTCTTACAGATATCGGAAGTGGAGTGGGAGAATAGGCTGGATCAACTCAATTCGAAGATGATTTATCAAAAATTATCACGCGAAAACACAAAATGGAAACGATTATCTTTCGATAAAGATCGAAAATTTGAGAACCAGTTCTGAACATCCCCTATTTCACAAAAAAATTCCCTCCAAACCGCACTGTTAGAAAAAAAATTGAACTCTCATGTGCAATTCAGTAGTAATTTTCAGGAGATCAACATTGAATTCGATTAAAATTCAATAATTTCCTGAATTTTCCTGACTTCCATTAATTTTCATGAAAAAATTGAACGTCAATTTGCAGTTTCCATCAATTTCGTCAACGAATCGTGAATTTTAATTGATAAAATTCCACTGTAACTGTAACTCGATTGAGATTTCTAAACACATTGAAAATTTCAACTAAAAATTTTTTAACAATGCGAAAACCTCCCCTCAATCCACTCCCCCAACAACTCAGTCAAACATGTAGAAAAAATCCGTAAAATACTCAATAATGAATAAATCAAGCCTAAAAATACCTAGAGTATTCCCCCTCAATAACCCCCCGGATTCCCAACATTCCCCATCAAACAATTGAGTTCAGCCCCAACAATAGTCTCCTGATTAGCATAATAAGGCTCCCTGGGATTTCCATTATTATACTTCATCTGCACAGCAGTCTCATAATCAGGGGCAGGTCTGTACGAAGGTAGCAGAGCCCGCAGATTGCTCAACTCCGTCGAGGAGACCGAGACAGGAGGATAGGGTGACGTCGAGAGGTCATTGTAGCTAGTCCACCTCATGTCCTCCTGGATCCTCCCCTCAAGATTAACCGAGTTTGCCTGCTCACTGGACTCATTGCAGTCAGTCCCATCACTCTCGAAGTAGCTCGTCAGCCTCTCACAGGGTCTCGACTCCTGGTGCTGCATGTAGAACGTGTGCTGGGCGATGCAGAGTCTCCACATGTACTTGGCATTCTTCGATTCGTTGAATAAAAACTGCTTCGGCTCTTCGTGTTCAGTCTGGCACTCTATCCTAAACGTTTTCTTGTGATTAATGACGTTGCTGATGTCCTTCCACCTGTAGAACTGAGTCGTCTGGGTCCCAGGGCTGACGACCATGATCCCATTGATGGATATCCCCAGGATCACCTGATTATTCCCCTCGTCTTTAGCTGTAAATGTCTCGTGACCGTAGCCCTCCAGCTGCATTGCAATGGAAATGTACAATTCCTCAGCCACTGCTTGCGTCACCCCCGAGAGACTTTTGTACTGGCAAATTGCTGATTTCAGCAACTCGTCCCTCCCCCCCTCCTCTGTGTCCAGAACGATCTTCGGGAAGAGGTTGTACTGCTGGAGGCAGTCGACAGTGTGTCGTATAGAGTCATAATTACCGAACTCTGCTTGCATGGAGTAACTGGCAAGAAGGGTCGCCTGTCGAGCGTTGCACTGGGTTCTCCCCTCCAGGACGTCGTGCTTCAGCTGGAGGTAGTAGTGGTACCTCGTCATCTCGTCCTGGATCAGTTGCACGTCTGTTATGTAGTACATGACCCGCAGGTGCAGGTTGAAGCCTTTGGCTTCCTTCTCCAGTTGGCGCTTCAGGGGCTTGTCCATGTCGATCCAACGGAGGGAGGAGTCACTGTGCCTCCAGATGTACTGCAGACCGAAGAACTCCGGCTGGGAGAGGCCCAGGCGCTGGATTATGTTGTCCAGGCATTCCTGGCCCAGACTCTCCAGGGAGAGCGTGCATTCTATCGAGGTGTGGTCCAGGAGCTCCACGCAGATTACGTACTGGTTCTTGGAGACCACGTTGTACTGACGGGATTTCTTCAGGTGGAATTTGAACGGCATCTGGGGAATTATGGGGTCATTAATGAAGGTTAACATTCGTTGTTTGCAAATGAATAATTGACATTTTTTAAACTTTCGGGAAACTAATTTTTTTTGGGGGGAAATCGATTTCTGGTCAATTGAGAATATGAATAAGTTTGTTATGATTTTGAACGAATAATTTTTCTGGGGGAAAATTGATTGTTTATAAATTATTTATAGAATTGCAATGCTCGTAATTTTCACAAATTGCAATTTTTTTTATTATTTCATCAATCTTTCTCCAAAAGTAAACTTCATAATTTTTTTCAGATTTTTAGAATGTTTCCTAACGGTTCAATATCGAGATTCAAATTCAGACCTGCAAAGTTTAAAGAACAAAATCATTGTTAAATGATTAGGGGAGGTTGGGGCAAAACGGACACTTTTGACTTTTTTTTAAATGTTAATGAGGGGTTGAAATGTTGATAAAATTTAGTAATGATTTTTTTCAATACAAAGAACAATTCTTTCCCTTTGGGACGAGGCTAAACTGAGCTCAATTGATCAATTTGTTTCTGAGTTATGAATAATTTTTAAAAAGTCTAGTGTCCGTTTTACCCCACCATCCCCTACTTATTGAAACTTAGGGTCAAGTGACAACTCTGATGTCCGACTACAGAAGTAGAAAAGAATTTCACTGGAGAAAAAATAGCTAAAATACTTGGATATCCTTAAATCTACTAGAATCGGCTTAAAAAACAAATTGAATTTCTCAATATAATTCAGTACAACTCCAATAAAATTCTTATCGACTTCCAATAGAAATTCGCAAGAATTCTTTAAAGAAATACTAGTTTTTTCTACTGAATTTTTTCATATCTAGGGAAAATAATTGACTATTTGTTTCTCAATTCATCATTTATCATTTAATTTCTTCCATTTTTTCCTTTTTGCATTCATAAATTCATAGAAACATCGTTTATCAATACGTAATCATGTACACATGATCCACACAACACACATCACATTTAATCAATGGCAGTATTCATTCATCTGCTCCATTCTTTCATTCCTCAAACCTTCCGTTTATTCTTACATGATCGTGTACAAATGCATTATAAGACACGTGTCCAAATATTTACCAATAAAATAAAATGAAAAATCGACGGATAAACTGTAGAAACGGAGTCTCAAGATTTTGATCGCATTTTACAGCATTGGGCGCAATACGATCAACAACGTAATAAATTATGAAATATGGTGACTGCCAAAAACCAACTGATTTCAAATATAGGGGAGGTTGGGGTAAAACGGACACTTTTGACTTTTTTTTAATGTCAATAAGGAGTTGAAATGTTAATAAAATTTAATAATTTTTTCTTTCAATACAAAGAACAATTCATTCCCTTTGTGACGAGTCTAAACTGAGCACAATTGATCAATTTGTTTCTGGGTTATGAATAATTTTAAAAAAGCCTAAAGTGTCCGTTTTACCCCACCCACCCCTCTTAACAAATTTGTAACTACTTGAAACAAAGTCACATAAAAATGTATTTTAAACATTAACACGTATGAAAAAATTTAATAGAAAAACCTAGCGAATTCGTTAAGCAATTCTATTTAATTATTTTCTGTACAATTTCCTCGGGATAAATTTTCCAAGTTTTTTAGTTTGATTTTCTTGATGAAAAAGCAAAGAAAAATGGAATGAAAAAACTTGGAAAATTGGAGCCGAGGAAATTCTATAGAAAACATTCTTCAGAAAAGAATACTTTCTATTAGTTTTTTAAACTACAGAATTAATTCAGTAGCGAAGCAGTAAACCGAGTTAAGTCGATTTTGACTATTGGGCAGTTTTTGACGAATATCTCGGAATCTAAAAGAGATTGAAAAATTTTTGTCATAACCTTTTTTGTAGATGCAATTAAGTGTTATAAAAAAGGTCATGAGCGAAATTTCGCTATCTCTCTTAGGTTCCGAGATATCCATTAAAAACTGACGAAAAGTCAAAATCGACTTAACCCGGTTTACCGCTTCGCTACTGAATTAAAAAAACTAATAGAAAGTTCAATAAAAATCCAAGAGAATTGTCTACCGAATTCTCTAGGTTCTTCTATTAAATTTTTTCGTGTGACCCCAAACATTAATTATTTAAATCAATAATATAAACCACAAGCAGAAACGTCGAACATCTTAAAAAGCCAACATCACTATAAATTAATATAATATAAAATAATTTAATATAATATAATTATAATAATATAATATAATTATATAATTTAATTTAATATAATTTAATATAAAATTCAGAATTTCACACAAAGAAAAAACCGAAGAAGCTTTCATTCTCTGAATTATTATCATGCTCCGGAAAATGAACCCAATGAAACTAAATCGTGGGTATTTTTGGATTGTCGAGGGAGGATTATTCTGATGGCTCACCTTGATGAAGATCTTGCACTCGAGCTTTCCGGAGTTTATCTTTTATTCAGATTGTTTATGTTCCTGATCGACCATTCATGGTTGACTCCTTCCAGGTTGTGTTGACGTGTTCACTAGACAACTCACTCGCGTAATTTCATGTTTTCCAGATTTTCGTAGGTGACGGGGTGATTTCTCATGAATTCCGGGGGAGATTTCACTGGGGATTGTGGAGATTCGAGGGAATAACAATACCTTGGGCCTGACATTCAGCCAGGAATGACCATTTTTGTACCACTGTAAAAATAAAACGACAACGGTGGAGGGGATTTTGTTTTAAGTCACCAAACTGTCGGTAAGAAAATTTTCTTCTTCTTCTTTTTCATGCCACTAGCGCCACCCGCGTTGATCCCCTTTCCACATTACGCCCTTTTCCCCCCTTTTTCTCGCAGATTCGATATTCCTTTTCTTCAGTCAATTGTTTATGAACATTCTCATTGCAAAAAGCAACACAACCCATGAGAATGATGTGTCCCAATTTATCAACTGTTCAATTTTCATATTATAATAAACGATTTGCTTATATTCTAATTGCTATGCTGACTGAATAAGATATTAATCATAATTACAATTCAATTCCGTCTAGAACACACACTTTAGAATGTGAATTTCTGGAATTCAATGTTTGTTGATACTCTGGTAAAAGTGATTCAATTAATCTGTTGTTCATCTCATCAATATAATTCCGTGCTTAGAATATTGATCTCGTGTTGTCAGCACCAAATTAAAAATTAAAACTTCATTTGGAATATTGAGTCACAGCTTTTTCTATTCATATCAGAAATTTTGTATTTGGATATTAATATTATTTGTTCAAAGTAAAAAAATCGATCATCATTTTCACTATATTGCATTGAGATTCTTCTATCCTTAACGTCGAAACTGTGAGATAATCTCATAATCCTAGCTATTAATTCGAATCTACTTTGTTCGAAGAAAACCTTAGTAAACGCAATATTAAGGAAGTAGAATTATTTTATTTTCCTCTGGCCTAAATGATTTGGACAATTATATGATTCGTTTATTCATGTTTCATTCAATAGTATTCAATTCTCTTTTGTTTGTCAAGAGGGCTTCATGAAAATGCGACGCAAGACGATTGTACCCATGGAAACCGCCTTACTTCCTCTATTCGTTAGGGAGATATCCGCCATGTTCGAGTTCTCATTTTCGATTCGAGAAATTACTTATGCGTTTTTATTGAGAAAGCATCGAATTTCTATTTTCCTGACCTAAATAATTTACACAATTATTATGATTCATTTATTTATGTTTCATAGAATGGTATTCAATTCTCTTTTGGTTGTTAATCGGGCTTCATGAAAATGCGATTCAACACAATTGTACTCATGGGAACCCCCTTACTTTCTCTATTCGCTCGAGAGATATCCGCCATGTTCGAGTTTTTTATTTTCAATTCGAAATATTGCCTGTTTTTTTGAGAAAGTATAGAATTTTTATTTTCCTGACCTAATTGGACAATTATGATTTAATTATTCATGTTTCATAGAATGATATTCAATTCTCTTTTGGTTGTTAATCGGGCTTCATGAAAATGCGATTCAAGACAATTGTACTCATGGGAACCCCCTTACTTTCTCTATTCGCTCCAGAAATATCCGCCATGTTCGAGTTTTTTATTTTCGATTCGAAATATTGCCTGTTTTTTTGAGAAAGTATAGAATTTTTATTTTCCTGACCTAATTGGACAATTATGATTTAATTATTCATGTTTCATAGAATGATATTCAATTCTCTTTTGGTTGTTAATCGGGCTTCATGAAAATGCGATTCAAGACAATTGTACTCATGGGAACCCCCTTACTTTCTCTATTCGCTCGAGAAATATCCGCCATGTTCGAGTTTTTTATTTTCGATTCGAAATATTGCCTTTTTTTTTTGAGAAAGTATAGAATTTTTATTTTCCTGACCTAATTGGACAATTATGATTTAATTATTCATGTTTCATAGAATGATATTCAATTCTCTTTTGGTTGTTAATCGGGCTTCATGAAAATGCGATTCAAGACAATTGTACTCATGGGAACCCCCTTACTTTCTCTATTCGCTCGAGAAATATCCGCCATGTTCGAGTTTTTTATTTTCAATTCGAAATATTGCCTGTTTTTTTTTTAGAAAGTATAGAATTTTTATTTTCCTGACCTAATTGGACAATTATGATTCATTTATTCATGTTTCATAGAATGGTATTCAATTCTCTTTTGGTTGTTAATCGGGCTTCATGAAAATGCGATTCAAGACAATTGTACTCATGGGAACCCCCTTACTTTCTCTATTCGCTCGAGAGATATCCGCCATGTTCGAGTCTTTTATTTTCGATTCAAAATATTGCCTGTTTTTTTTAGAAAGTATAGAATTTTTATTTTCCTGACCTAATTGGACAATTATGATTCATTTATTCATGTTTCATAGAATGGTATTCAATTCTCTTTTGGTTGTTAATCGGGCTTCATGAAAATATGGCTCAAGACGATTGTACTCATGGGAACCGTCTTATTTTCTCTATTCGTTCGAGAGATATCCGCCATGTTCGAAGGAAAGGGATTCCCCTTCGCCCCTGTTCGTCCCTCTGACGCCCGCATGATCAAACCGACTTCAAGAGACCAAAACACAAACAAAACTCATTGAAATAAAAATCATAAAGTTCTCAAAACCAACAATTCGTAAGTATAAATACTCAGAAACGCTCGAGAATTGTTTAAACACATTGAAATCAGAATATTCATGTTGTAATATACCACGAGAGCACCAAAATTATCGGGTATTTCCCGATAGGTTCGTTGTAAACAAAGGAAGGAGTCAAGTTTTTCAGGCTAAAAAAAAACTTGAAGACTTTGTGTGCAGGGAACCTTGAGGGAAATACCTCATTAATTTTGAAGCTCGAGTGGTATTCGGGAGAGAATTTTTCCATCCAAATTCCGGCCAAGAGATCTGCTCCATGAGACGAAATCAATCTGTCAGTTTCGGCGATCGGTTCACTCAATTGAATAACCTTTTGTCTTTTTATATAGCAAAACCAAGCAAGAAAAAATTTAATAGAAAAACTTATCGAATTCGTGAGAAAATTCTATTGAATTTCTATTAAAATTTCTATTAGTTTTTGGCTGATTCTATTGACATGTTCAATAGAAAACATTCAATAGAAAAAGTCAACAGAATTCGATTTTTCTATATAACTTATGCTTTTCATATATTTTATATAGAATTTACTCGACTCAAATTTTCAAAGTTTTTTTATTCTATTTTTCTTGTCTTCTCATCAAGAAAATCAAACGAAAAATTGAATTCTGTTGACTTTTTCTACTGAATATTTTCTATTGAACATTTCAAAAGAATCGGCCAAAAACTAATAGAACAGTTCAATAGAAATTCAACAGAATTTTCTAACGAATTCGATAGATTTTTCTATTAAATTTTTTCGTCCGTGACTAGCAGAGAAAATTATCAAAAAATTATCAGTTGAAAACCCTGTAGGTTGTACCACATGACGTCGAATGGTGGAATTCTATTGGCTGAAATTTGGATGGGAAAAATTCTCATTCTCATTCTTTGATATTATCCTCCATGAAATCCAGGAGTTGCTGACAATGGGCCCTGAAACGGAGTACCCAATCTACAGAAGAGGGACAGTGGTTTATTCCAAGGACCCAAAAGACTTCATCTGTTACATCTGTCCAGAGGGACAAGCAGAATCCTTGGAGAATCATTTGAAGTGGGAAAATCACGTCGCGAGGCTCGAGGTGTTTACCAAGACCTGCGTCAACATGGCTTCTGTTGTTTACCATAAAATGTGTCCGAAGCCAATGGATTTTTTTGCTAAAATAATTGGAGCTGCACTGGCAGATGTGCCTGAGAATGCCCCTGAGGTCCTCTTCAAGAATTATGTCTCACAACAAAGTGATCAATACTTCTGCCACTTATGCAAATTAAAATTGCCCTTTTGGTTCCTCGTCGAAGGTCACACGAAGGATAGTCAACATGAGGCTTTGAGAATGGCCAGAGTTGATGAAATAATCCTCGAGAATTCGTCGTTTTCGCTATTATTCTATAAACTGGGTGTCAAAAACTCGATTTTCATGAGAACAGGAGGGTCTTTGAGGTGTGAACTGTGTGATTGTGACGTGGAAGCTTCTTATAAGGAGATATTGCCTCACATCACGACGAATGGTCACACAGCGAACCAGCAGAGACACCTGGACAGCTTGAAATTGGCTGGAATTTGTGGCCAGACTCCTCGAGATTATTCAGGATTGAAAGAATCTGGGAATTGTTCTGATGAAGCTAAAGGACAATCCAATAATAATGGTGAGGATGAAGATGGGCAGGTCATTGGATTATCTTGCATAACGTGTAATGATTCAGTTGATGCATCTCGCACAGAATTTAATTCTTCAGACGACAGAAAAGAAATTGATGAACATTTATCAGCTCGTGAGGATGAAGAAAATGAAGAAAGTTCCAATGCTGAAGTATCACCAGAATTAGATGAGGATATGTCATCAGGAGCATCTTATAATTGTCCTGCACTGGCAGATGTACCTGAGAATGCCCCTGAGGTCCTCTTCAAGAATTATGTCTCACAACAAAGTGATCAATACTTCTGCCACTTATGCAAATTAAAATTGCCCTTTTGGTTCCTCGTCGAAGGTCACACGAAGGATAGTCAACATGAGGCTTTGAGAATGGCCAGAGTTGATGAAATAACCCTCGAGAATTCGTCGTTTTCGCTATTATTCTACAAACTGGGTGTCAAAAACTCGATTTTCATGAGGACAGGAGGGTCTTTGAGATGTGAACTGTGTGATTGTGACGTGGAAGCTTCTTATAAGGAGATATTGCCTCACATCACGACGAATGGTCACACAGCGAACCAGCAGAGACACCTGGACAGCTTGAAATTGGCTGGAATTTGTGGCCAGACTCCTCGAGATTATTCAGGATTGAAAGAATCTGGGAATTGTTCTGATGAAGCTAAAGCACAATTCGTTGGATCATCTTGCATATTTGAGGTGGGAGGAACGAAAGGCGACAGCACCTTTAATTCGTCAGATGATAAAAAAATTGATGAGCATTTATCAACTCATGAGGATGAAGATGAAGACAGTTCTAGTGTTGTCACGAGTGTTGAACGTGTCGAAATATTACCCGAAATCGATGAAGATATCTCATCAGGAGAATTATTCATTATTCATTATTCTTCTCCGTCAAATGATGAAGATAAATATTCGGGAGAAGCTAGAGATGATGAAGAATCTCTTGAGGCAATTCAACATATTCCAACAGTGCAGCCAAGGCTTCCTTATGGGATCACTCACATCGACGAGAATTTATACTCATGTTTCCCATGTGATTGTAAAATACCTGGATTGATGACGAATGTCGAACAGCACGTGAGGGGTGCGAGACACCGGACAAACGTCCCACCACTTCCCGAAGAAATAATTCACCTGGAAGACAACTCATACTCGTGCTCATTATGTAATTGCGGCATGAAAGGGGAAACAACTGTCAGGTCACACTTGGGAGGCGCTCGGCATGCAGCAGCAGTTCGCAAAGCTCAGACGAGGATCTCTAGGAAATATAGGAAGAAGTCTGTGGCAACACTTTCGTCGTCGCTCTCGACATTGAGCTTGAGTTCTCTGGAGAACACCCTTGAGGGAATTGTTGAGATCAAAGGCACAGATCTGATTTCTTGTGCCATATGTGATCATCATGTATTTCCGGTGGGCACTGGTGGAGTACGTGGGCATCTGAATGGAAAAACTCATAGAAAGTGTTTGGAGAAGAAATTTCAACAGTTACTATCGGATTTTTAGGTGTGCAGAATTGGTAACAGTGAGATGGGTTAATGATGTTGAATGTTCAGAGGAAAGGAGAATGAGGAATTGTTTTTTATATCTAGGATTGATTCAACGAGGTCTTAAGATTTCCATTTTGCATTCTAAGATTTTCACGAATTAAGTTTTTTTCATCAACTCTGGATTTCTTTATTCATTTTTTTCGTATGTTGGAGATGAGATGTATCAATATTGTTGCATATTCGGAGGGAAAGAACATGATGAATTTTTTCTCTGTATTTTTAAGATAGATTCAACAAGTTCTTGACATTTCCATTTTGTATTCCAATATTTTCATGAATTAAGTTTTTTTATCAACTCCGCATTTCTTTGTTGATTTTTTTTCTTCATATATTGGAGATGAAATGTATTAATATTGTTGAATATTCAGAGGACAAGACATGAAAAAAAATTTCGTGGAATAGCATAAAATACTTTATTTCTGTGATGCTACTGTTTTTATGTAAAATACTGCATAATGAGTAATGATAATACAACAATATCGCAGTTTTAGCTGTTTTAACACTTATCAGAAGGAGCCGCAAGGACTCCATTTGACGGAAAATACATATGAACAGTCGATCTGATATTTGAATTATATTACGGTTATAATCACTTTAATTCGTAGTCTCTTGAATCTTCTTTTCGCCGTAGTCTCGCCAAATTCTCTCCAAATTAGTTACCCATAAAATTATTTTGGGTTCTTCAAGATTCTGATATTCTAATATTTTCATGAATCAAGTTTTTTTTATCAATTCTGGATTTCTTTATTGTTTTTTTTCATATATTGGAGATGAGATGTATTAACATTGTTTAAGGATGCACTACACCCTTTCAGCCAAAATTCAGGTTTTTTTCATTTTTCTGGCAAATTATTGATCGGATTGACGTGAAATAATATACCGTTTTTGCGTTTTATTGTTATTGACTGACTCACGAAGTTTCACGGTAGTGCAATCGTTTTCCTGCATTTTTTCTAAAGTTTTGTGAATTTCCCAAAAGTTTTATAAAACACAGAAAAATGATTGCACGATTATGAAATTTCGTGAGTCATTAAGTAATGATAAAACGCAAAAACGATATATTTTTTCACGTCAACCCGATCAACAATTTGCCAGAAAAATTCAAAAAACGTGAATTTTGGCGAAAAGGGTGTAATACATCCTTAATTGTCAAAAGCGCAAAGCACGATGAAAATTTTGTTTTGTATTTTTAAGATAAATTCAACGAGTTCTTAACATTTCTATTTTGCATTCCAACACCTTGATGAATAAAGCGTTTTTCATCAATTCTCGATTTCATTACTAATTTTTTTTTTTTCATATATTAGATGTTTTGAAATCCAGTCGTTCCCGCGTGATAATTTCCACCAAGCGATTCAGAAATTAATTTTAACTTGTAAATTCTCCTTTATGATCTCGGGATTCACTTTAACCTAAAAATTTGTTCGCTCATTTCGATGTAAATAAATCGTTGAAGGGTCCATCGAAATATTTTTAACTAGTGAGGAAAAATCATGAATACACTATTAAACAACGCCAAGAGTGTATCTCTGGTTGTCAACACTTTCGCCAAGAATGGGGGCTGCATAAGTAGAGGTTTGAAATCTAACCTGAAGATCAAGTGGAATAAACCAGAAAAAATACCCTCTACAGATCCCTTGAAGTCTGGAGACTTGAAGTCGTCGGTAAAAGTATCTCCTGACGAGCTGGCCTTCGGATATGATAAGTCTGAGGAGCTCAAAGAGTACGAAAAATTTGGAGTAAAAACACGACAAAATTTTATAAAAAAACCTAGCGAATTCGTAGAAAAATTCTATTGAACTTGTCGATTCTATGGAAATTTTTTTATTTCCTATTTTTATTTCCTTTTCATCAAGAAAGAAGAACAAAAAAACTTTAAAAATTTGACTCGAGGAAATTTTATAGAAAGTCCAATAGGAATCCAATAGAATTGTCTAACGAATTCGCTAGGTTTTTTTATTAATTTTTTTCGTGCGCGACCACGACCCTCAAGAATGCATTCCTTGCTGATGTCGACCTCTTCTTCATTTCAGTGCTCCGGAGATAGTTAGGAAGCTCTTCACCCTCGAGCACATGCCTGTGAAGGAAACTAGGAAGTTGAACCTTGAGAAGTTTAGAGATCTTGTCAAGAGACACGATATGGATTATAGATCCATGGAATCTACCTGTACGTTTCATTGATTCCTACTGTCAATGCGAAATTTGTTTTTCATTGATTCAATTATTAATTTATTTATTCATTCATTTACTCCTGACATTTTTTTCTCAAATGAGTGGATATTGAGGTGAATGCCCAGGGGAGGTTGGGCTAAAACGGACACTTAACTTTTTTCAAATGTTAATGAGGGGTTGAAATGTTGATAAAATTTAATAATTTTTTTTTTCAATACAAAGAACAATTCTTTCCCTTTGTGGCGAGCCTAAACTGACCTCAATTGATAAATTTGTTTCTGAGTTATGAATAATTTTAAAAAAGTCTAAAGTGCCCATTTTACCCAACCCTCCCCTAATTGACAAATTGTACATTCACCTCAATATTCTTGTTGAAACACGTACAAAAAAATGTCATGAACAATCTTATCGCGATTTATCTGAGAAATTCTATTGGAGTTCTATTAGAATTTAATTTGTTTATTCCGAAAATTCTGTTGAAAATTACGCAACATTCACGTACTTTTCAGTAGACATTTGTTCGAAGAAAAAAGGATGTAGATGTGGGTTTTCCCTCCAACTGATTCCATTAGGATTATTTTCATAAAAATTCTTCATTTATAATTCTTGAATTTTATTTTGAGAAACAAATAAAAATACAACGGAGGAGACTTAAAAAAATTATGCCTAAGAACTGTAGAAAAATCAAAATTTATTGACTTTTTTCTATCAAAAATCTCTTAATAAAATGAAAGTGAAATTCCATAATCTTCAATAGAATTCGCGTAAAAGACAGATCTCCTTTAAAAAATATAAATTCAATAGAATTTCTCAAAGAAAGCTGTTAATTTACTTATTTATTTTTCTTTTTCTATAAATTGTTTCCATCCGTAAATTTCTATTCATTCAAAAACAAAAGATTCTAGCAGGGAATAGCAAGAACTACCATTGGTACCTCTCGAAATTTCAAAAAAGAAATATCTCCAATTATTTTTTCTCCTAAAATCACTCATTATCAAGACAACAAAATATTAATGAATGATCCGAACAACTTCAAACGAAATTTTTTTATTAATTGTTGAATTATCTCAAATTCGTTTCCGCATTCCCTCTAAAATCCCTTGTTATCGCGATAATTAAATATTCAACACCTTCACTTCCCTTGTTGTGCATCTTCCCGTCTGATTTCAGTGGCAATAATGACCTGCGCAATTCGTGAGATGCAGGAGCATATGAAGACTCACCCACGAGACAGAAGACGTAAACATATCCTGAAAGAGCTGATCGACAAAAGGAAAAAATACCTGACAGACTTGCGAAGATGGGACTACAAGCGTTTCGAATGGCTACTAGAGAAGCTTAACATTGTTTATCACCCTTACCCGGAGCTCTGGATCAGTCCCACTAGGAAAGACTCTCTCAGAAAATTGACGAGTGCACACTGCGAGGAGGTGAGACAGGCGAAGCTGGATTCCTACAGAGCAGAGCTCGAGGCACAGCAGAAAGACTTCTTCAAGGAGAAAGCAGAGAAATTGGCCTTCATCAGGTCTGAGGAGATTGCTTGTGGGTTGGAACCCACTGTCAGTGAAGCGGAGATTGCAGCAGCTCAAGAAAAAGCTGCAGAGTTTCAGTAACAAGAATCAGTGGTTAATAAATAGAATTTACGTGATGATATCTATTGCTTCGTCCTTAATTCTTGCTAGAAACGATTTTGGAAATAGTTCCATTCGTATTTTCGTTAATTATTCCAGCGGTCGTCTTTAATTAGGGGGAATCGGCGTTAATTCAATTGGAAATTAATTTTTGGAGGACAAATTCAGGATTTTTTCATATTAATTTCATATATTTTGACCCTTAAACCATTTATTTTGAATTATAAAATGATTATGAATGTTGATTAAACCTAAACTATCAATAGAATATATAATGACTGGTTAAGATCAAATTTCAACTTGCTAAATGCAAGTGGAATTGATGTTAATTCAATTATTAAAATATTTATTCTGGGAAATTTTCATTTTTGTGGACAAATTTATGATTTTTACACATCAATCTCATATATTTTGAACTTTAAAACAATTATATATCTCGATTAGATATATCATCAGTTATTTGTCTTCATTTCCTTCGCAATTTGGTAAATTGTTTTTTTTTATTAAATTAAATAATGAAGCTTGGCACATGAGTAGAAACAATTTCATCAACATTTTCATCATTAATGTCTGATGACTGACCAAAATGAAATCTCAGATTACCAAAAACTAGCAAAATTGCCTAATATAATGAAAAAAATACTATTTCGCTTCAAAATTTAATCTCCAAAATAAATTCACGATCTTCCCCCATCAATTCAATTATCCTTATCGTTCTTAAGGCCCTGCGTGCACTTCGAGGGCGTCAGAACGGAGTGATTTTCAGTATTTTTTTTTCCAAAGAAATAATTCGCTTATTAAGAAACCGTTAATGTATTTCAAAATTTACTAATTTGAGTTCATTGACAATGAACTGGCATTTTTTTTTTTCATATTCATGTATTAATTCTTCAGGCTGCTAAACGGAATCGGTTTGACACATCCCGCGTCCCTCGGACACACAAAAAGTACTATTTATCGTATCTAAAATGAAAAAACGAAGCACAATCCTTGAATAACATCAATGGAATGTGCCATTCTCGTCCCAAAAAAAATTCAAATTTTTTTTTTGAAACATTCATGCTATATCGAAGTTTTCGTGCCATTTCGGGACAAAATCTCACCACGTGTTGGACAATAATAACGAACAATGTTGTGAAAAAAAATGGTCAGTGTCAAGAAAACACTATAAACAATCTTCAGAAAAAATTTCATACAGATCGGTACAATGGTGCTGCAAATATCATGTGCACCGTCTTGAAAAACCTCAATTCGAGAAAACGACAGTCAAAGTTTTGGTTTCGTCCTGCTCCCATTCAGGTCAAACTGACCGGGTCCGCTACAAACGGCTGTATCTTTGTCAATTTCACAGATTTTCAAGCGAAATTTTCGAAAAATATTTTTAAAGCATACAATCAAATAAAAATGTTTTTGAAAAAATATTTTTTTCACACATCTTGGTGTATATAGAGCCTCAAACTACAAAACAATTACGAATGTTGATTACATTCCCTCCAAACACCGAATTATACAATTCGTCGACATTGTTGCCTGCAATTTCCTTCACAATTCGATAAATTCTCTTAATTAAATAATAAGTTTTAGACATCAGTAGAAACAATTTTATTTTATCCACCAAAACCAGCGAAAATTGCCGAATCTACTAAAAAAACGAGCTATTTTCCTTAAAAATTTAATCTCCAAAACAAATTCACGATCACCCCCCATCAATTATCCTAATCCACCTCAAACTCCGAAACAACTATCAATCCTGATTAGATTCACTCCTAGAGTTCTCCACAGCCTTGATCTTCCCAAACAGAGAATTATACAATTCGTTCTTAGCGAGATCAGACCAGGTGTCATCGGCAGTAATCGGCGCCATGAAGTTCACCAGCTTCGCGTGGACATTGTACCTGATCCTCCTCCCCTTGGTGGCCCTCGTGTCGATCTTCCTCTTCATCTTGTTCCTCATGTTCTGCAGCTGGATCCACTGTTTGCTCAGCTGAATGGGGTCAGTGATGTCCGCTGATTTCTGCTCGATCAGCTCCCTCAGCAGCTGGTGGTAAAAATCGTCGTCGTCGTAGATCTCAGGGTCGTACTCCTGAGTCCGCCTGCCATCATCATCAGGATCTTCTGTCGCATCCTTTCCAGCTATTCTGTACTCTGATCTCTTCAGTTGTGTACGTTTTATCAGTTTGGGCTTGTCATTGAGAAGAAATTCAATCTGTTTCACCACTGATTGAGCAGTTCCTTTCGTCGCGTTTCCAGACGCCAGTCTAGTTTTATCATTCCACTTCTGAATCACTGAGTCTCTGAAGGGCTTGAACTTGCTGTGACGTTCGTGGAGAAGACCCTCGTATTCTCTCAGCGCTCTTCTTTTCTTCTTCGGGGGTTCTTCCGCCTTTTCCTCATCTCCTGAATTTTCATCCTCTTCATCTTTATTCGTCTCGTCGTCGGTGTCAGAAGGAATTTCCTCGTCCATGGGGTCCTCTTCGTCTTCCCTCTCGCCTTCATCATTCTTCTTCGATAATAAACTCTTCGTCTCTGGGTTATTCCTCAACAACTTCTCCTGCATCAGCAAGAGGTTCTCCAACAGATTCGTTAATTTACTCGTCGTCTCGGTTTTAGTCTTTACGAACTGCTTGTTGACAGTGAACTGCTGGTGGGCATCGAACTGGGGCAGCTGATTGCTGGTTACTAGACACTTCTGCAGTTGAATCCTCATCTCCAGGACGTGCTCCCAGAGTTTGAGCTGTTCCCTCACTGCGTGACCTTTCTCGATGTCTCCATGGAGGTTCGTGGTGCTCATGCTCTTGAAGGGGATCGATGGGGCGCGGTTCCTGCGGAGGGGGTTGTCCTCGTCCACCTCTGAGTCTTCGTCGTCCTCACTTTCTTCTTCTTCTTCATCTTCGTCCTCTTCGTCTGTGTCTTCTCCGGATTCTTCACAGTTTTTCTCGTTTGATGATTCTTCAGCGTCTTCACTGCTTTCGTCTCCGTAAAGGTCTTTTCGTGAGACCTTTTTTCCTTTGTATCTGAGTAAGAAATCATTACGATGAAATTCACGTTCTCGACTGTGGTTTCAAGTTAGTGAATTCCTTTGGGCCTTGTTCAGGTCGGCAGCAACAAAAAATGAGAAAAATTACTAATCAAATTGCACTACGTTTTGAATGCTCGAGGCATTCCTCTTTAGGTGCATTTTTTGCTCTAGAAAAAATCCAAGAGTAGAAAATGAAAAGGAAATAATGAAAATTCATCGAAGAATTCATTCTGAGCTGTCAATGGAAGGGATCCTCCTTCCATTAACATCTTGCATTGACAGCTCTGAATGGATTCTCGATAAATTTTTATTTTTTATTTTCTATTCTTGGATTTCTTTGAGAATAAAAAATACCCCTGATGAGAATGCCTCGAGCATTCGAAACGTAGTGTGAACCGATTACGGATTTTTGTAATTTTTTGTTGCTGCTGACCTGAACATGGCCAAAGGGGTTTTCTTAACAAGAGATCAATCAATCATTCAAAAAATTAAATCATGAAGTCATTTGATTTCAATAGTTGATCCATCTGGAATGAATGATTATTTACTTTAAGTGATTACAATATTTCCATTGAGATAGTCACATGAGTTTATTACTTTCAACAAAAATACTGTTGAAATCAATATAAAAATTTAAAATAAAGAGTTTTATTGAATGAATTCTCAAAAAAAGGAATTCTTGCTTGAGCTCTTGAAATTATTCTGCAAATTATTCTCTGAGTGAGCAATGATTGATCTGAATTTATTTGATATGAATAAATATTTCCCTAATATCCGAATAAAAATCCTATTGACCTAAAATCCTACTAGGAATTTAAATTCTTAAAAAAATGAAGTTATGAAATTTTTATTTTAATAGTAAATCCACTGGAATGAATTATCTACTTGAATTTATTAATTTCGAATAAAAAAATTGGTAAAATGACTACAAATATTTCAAATAAAGAGTTTTATTGAATTAATTCTTCAATAAAACAATTGTTGCTTGAGCCCTTCAAATTATTCTGCAACAATGACAACTAGTCAACATTATATTCTCTGAGTAAATACTCTTGACTGGATAATAATCAACAATTGGAATTAATGAACAGTTATTATTGACCTGGAAAAAATTTCATGGAATACTTAGGGGAGGTTGGGGTAAAATGGACACTTTTGACTTTTTTAAAAATGTTAATGACGGGTTGAAATGTCGATAAAATTTAATAATTTTTTCTTCATTGCAGAGAACAATTCTTTCCCTTTGTGATGAGCCTAAACTGAGTTGAATTGATAAATTTCTTTCTGAGTTATGAGTAATTAAAACAAAAGTCTAAAGTGTCCATTTTACCCCACTCGCCCCTAATGTAAAATGACTTACCTCTCGTCAACTTCGTCTAGCAAATCGATATTTTGTTTTCGGATTGACGAAGTGAGACCCTGATCATCACTGTCTGACTCCTCGTATCTCTCGACCACTCTGGCCCGCGTCTCTTCTGTCTCATCGTCAGACCCAAAATTCTCAGGCGCTGCTGTTATCAAACTGTTTATTTTCTCTGCTAAACTCGAGTTTTTCGACTTTTGTGACATTTTTTACGGGCGATTTTGTTGTGAGGGAAGTGGACACATTGGAGAACACGTGTGGATGCAAAATATAACCACCAAATCTGTGGCGCTGGAGAATTGAGGGGTAATGGCTTTTCAGAGATCTCTGTTTTACCCACAGGAAGAATTTTTAAACATTCGAGACAATTTTTAAACATTTCATAGGGCTGAGTGGGGTAAAATGGACACTTTAGACTTTTGTTTTAATTACTCATAACTCGGAAACAAATTTATCAATTGAGCTCAATTTAGGCTCATCACAAAGGGAAAAAAGGGTTCTTTGCAATTAAAAAAAATTATTAAATTTTATCAACATTTCAACCCGCCATTAACATCTAAAAAAAAGTCAAAAGTGTCCATTTTACCCCATATTGCCTGGACACCATGTCAAATCCATGGAAAACTCATCACAGAAGGCAAACAAATTGATTTAGAGTTTGGCAACTACCACATATTTTTGATATTCCCATTAATTCAGGTGATTTTCGCTAACTAAACCCCCGTAACTCGAACACGAATACCTCCAGGTGAAACGAACCTTCAGAAATCTCGCGCGTTCGAATAAAACTGTCGCAAACTAGACGAATGAAAACACACCCACAGTAATGGTTGTTATTTGTTTTCAGGCATTTTAGCAGTTGTAATTGTTGTTCCCGTCCACTCCACTGCTTACTTCGAGCTTCCTTGTTTATCCCCAGAATGCAGAACTCATTGCCCTGAAAAATAACTCCCTCAACCGTTAACGAGATATTGAATTGAGATACTGTTGCTGTGGCATTCTCAACGCTCACCATTTCAAGTGTTCATCAATTCCAAAAATGAGCCAGCAAAATTCGTGAATGATCTGCTCTTACTATCAACCCCATTAATAATAAATGAAGAAATAAGATCCGAGGAATGTGCCCGAAGTGTTGTTGACTGTCAGTGGGAGATTTCAGTGATGCAACCATCAGTAGCCTTCACACCGACAGTGGTCCACCCCATCCCCCAGATTGATCGGAGCCTGGTGCCAGTGTCCTACTGCTCTCGAAGGTTCAGGAGGATTCTCCCCAAATTGGAGCCAAATGCTGTCCACAATTCAGAGGTCCTGCCATCAGTCCCCACGACGGAAGCTGTACCCAATCCCTACATCATCATCATCCCGAGGGTTGACAACACAAAACCATCGACACCAAATAACGTGAGACTGCCTAGAGTAAGCAAGAGGAAAGCCATCCTGAGAATAACCATCAATAAAATGTCGAATACTGAGAATACCGACGTCCTGAATGAAAGCACTGCCACGAGGGGTGATCACAATGGACTAGACACGAGAGTTGACGAGGGAGAGCCACAGACTGAACGAGTTGAAGTCAGGAATTACAAATTGAACAGGTCTGTTGTTTTTTCGTTGGATCCAGTCACCGGGGAAATACTCGTGACCAAGAGAGCTATTAAAAGTTCTACGTGTGATAATGGGGATGTTGAGGGGAATGTAAATACGAGGCAGGATTCATCGCAGGGTGTCAAGTGAGTTGAAGGAATTTTCGGTGTCTTCTCTCTTGTCATCGATTGTTTTATTCTTCAGGTGTTGTGAGACAACGGAGAAAGTGAGAAATCCTTGTGCTGATGCTGGGGGACAGTGTGATGCACCTCAAGGTCTGAATGGTCTGGATGAGAAAGGGATTTGAGTAATGTATCGATGCATTTGACTTTTGTAAGGGACGGATCGTGCAGAATGTTTTTTAAAGAGTGATGAACTGCAACGGTTTAATTGATGAATCTATTATTTCTAGCACAGAGTTCAGAGCAAGCCTCATTTTGTCTTGAATACTTCGCATGTGGAGATATTATTTATCTTTCGAGTTATTATATTGTTACTTATTGTGTTTTATGAGACAAATTATGGGAAATGTTGGAATTACTCAGTGATTTATCGGTTGTCTTGGTTATTGAATAATAATAACTATCTTGTGGTTAAATATTTATCGTCTTTTATTATCCCATTATCATGATTTAACGTTTTCGTCGACAATTGCTTCTTCTGAATTTAGATTGTTCCCATTTTCTCGACTGACAATCGATTCTGACTCCTTGGGCTCCACTTTGTTGGTATTTTCACTTGACGATGATTCTTGTGCATTCGATGACTCAATTACAGGCAAAGTTGGAAGGAATGACTCTTTCATGACACTTTTCAGCGGCAATAATGTCGACAGTGGCTCGACAATTTTTTTTCTATCCAAAAACGTGATTCCCTGATGAAATAATTCCTTTTCATTAATAATGATTTAAAAAAAATTGTTTATGTTTAAAAAAGAGTAGGATTTTTACCTCTTTTTGCAGTTGCCCGACAGTAATATCGAGATGCATAGCGATCTGATTCTGCGGAAAAATCGCGTGAATGCAGTACTGAATGTACGGTATCAACTGATCGCTGAAGCATTCAGCGAATTTCATCATATTCTCTCGTTCACTCGCGGTAAACGCCTGTTGCTCCTGCTTGTAGAAAACCAAGATCCCTCTAGCCACACATTGCAACGATTCCTCCAGTATCTGGGTACAGTATTCAGCCAGGGCAACAGGTGGGCACACTCTGAGCTCATTGAACGTCGCGATGAGACCATTGCAGTATTCAGCCAGGGGATAGAAGTCGACAAGTTCTTCCGGGGGATTTTCCTGATGAACAAATCCAACAAGTGAGAAATTACTCTTGTCTTCATGTGGCATTATAACGGAATCGAATATCTTATTTATTGATCCTCTTCCCTCTTTGTGATATATTTGTTTTGTATCGTTATTCGATTGATAAAAATGTCTTCTGAAGCCTCAACGGAGATATTAATCACCATGTGTGTTAAAAAAGAAATAAATCTGCCCCTTTTTTATAAATTCATCACCTATTCATTACAGTATAGTTATTTTTGCTAATAAATTAGCAATATACTTCCGAATGATCATTTTGCATATCATTTGATTCTGGATTATATGAGTGTCTATTTTAAGTCATTTAATTGAATGAGATTTATTTTTAAACAATTGTGTTAACTTGGCAAGTTGAAAAACCGACAAAATTAGTTGAAAAGAAATTTTATTCAATTGAATAAAATAAAATAAACAGCGAATTCAGTAGCGAAATGGTAAAACGGTACAAGTCAATTTTGACTATTGACCAGTTTTCAGCGAATATCTCGGAATCTAAGGGAGATAGCTAAATTTTTGTTATAACCTTTTTTGTAGAGCCGGTTGAGAGCTACAACAAATGTGATTACGAAAATTTCGCCATCTCCCTTAGATTCGGAAATATTCCTTAAAAACTCAACTGGGAGATGAGTCGACTTAATCCGTTTTACCAATTCGCTACTGAATTATACATGATGGAACGAAATGATGTGCAAAATAACCATTCGAAAGCATATTGCCAATTTATTAGCAAAAATAAAAATACTATATGCAATACAAAAGCAACTTCCCACTTGTTTTTAGATATCATGGGACAACCCATTTTGTGAAAAATTCAAAGATTTAAAAAATTATTAAATGAATTCAATTTTAATTAACGTTAATTTACGTTAATTAACGTATTTAAATTTAAATTTCAGAAAAAAACATGATTCAATTCCTTTGATTCATTAGCGAACAATCGAAGATAAATTATCGCATAATGACACGCACGAAAAAATTTAATAGAAAAACCTATCGAATTTGTTGGAAAATCCTTTGAATTTCTATTAAACTTTCTATTAGTTTTTGGCTGATTCTGTTGACATGTTCAATAGAAAACATTCAGTAGAAAAAGTCAACTGAATTCCATTTTTCTATATAACTTATTCTTTTCGTATATTTTCTATAGAATTTGCTCGCCTCAAATTTTCCAAGTTTTTTTCATTCTATTTTTCTGTTCTTCTCATCAAGAAAATCAACCGAAAAAACAGAGAATTTGAGCCGAGCAAATTCTATAGAAAATATCTCAATAGAATAAGTTATATAGAAAAATTGAATTCTATTGACTTTTTCTACTGAATATTTTCTATTGAACATTTCAATATAATCGGCCAAAAACTATTACAACAGTTCAATAGAAATTCAATAGAATTTTTATCGAATTCGATAGGTTTTTCTATTAAATTTGTTCGTCCGTGGAGTCGACATACCCCAAAAAATTCGAAATTAAAATTTGAACGATTACAAAGCCATTCATCATCCCAAAATCATCATCATCTTCGCAAGTTCCCCATGAAAATGAAATACTCACTGATTTTCCAGGAGTCTCCACTTTAATATCAACCCTATGCATCTTGTTAATCAGAGTAAAAGTCTCCACGTCCTTTTCAAACCTCCTCGTCGTCCTGTAAACGTTCTTCTGGAATCTCCCCCCAATGACTCTGACGAATATATCAGACATTCGACTCGTGAAGTCCGCCCCAACCCTCCCGAAGGACAACCCGAAGTACGTGCACTGCCCCAGGATGGAGTCGACGGAGGACACCCCAGGCAGGTCCTGCTCCAGAGTCACCAGAAACTGGGACAGTTTCTCCTCCAGCCAGTGGTAGAATATCGCTGATTCGTTTATCACGGCGTCGCGAGTCGATGAGGAGTGATCGTCGTCGTTGAACATCGCTCGATACTGCGTTATGATGTTGAATAGGTGAATTCTGGACAGTTCAATGGTCTTCGCCAGGTGGAAATTGGGGTCCTCCTTGGGGATGGCGTTGAGGAGTCCCTGCAGCCATCCGTCTCTCGCCTGCAGGAACTTTATCCGGAGTTCTGCCTCTGTGAAGGCGTCCATGGAGCGCAGAAGTCCAACGAGTTGGAGACACTTTGGCAGGGGCAGGTCTCCCCTCAGGGATCCAATCACCTGACCCACCATTCCAGACCAACTGTTCTCGATCGACGATACTATCGACTGGATTATTGGAATTTCACTGTGCTTCACTCCCAATTGTCGAGCGTATTGGGATATCTCGAGGGCTTCGTTGTACTGACTGCTCTGCAGGCAGGTCTCCATCAGCTGGGGCATCTCCAGGATTTCCAGCATCTCGGCGGTCTTCTTCAGGGTCAGGGTGTTTAGTCTTCTGTGGGTGTTTATGTCCTTTGATTTGTCGCAGAATGACTGACATTTCTCGACGAAGCGCGGAATTTTGGCGAGGAGGTTCTCCAGGTGCTCCTCAGTTTCGTTGAACTGGAGTGGGGAATGTTCATTATTCGGTGGGAGGAAGAACTTTTTTGGGGGGATGATTGGGAGGGATGCGGAGGCAAATGGGGGCGATTGAAGGAATAGTTTCGGTGGATTGTGCTTGAGATTAATACATCCTTTGTTATTTTCTCGTTGAAATTTTTTTCATTTTCATAATTAAAAAGCCATTCGGTATTTGAGGATAATTTGCTTCTTATTTCTTCGACAATTCAGAGTTATTAAGATTTTTTAAAAGCTGAAAAGTCGCTTTTAAAAATAATTAGTGAAATGTGAATGAATAATTTTAATGTTGAATGTTTGATATTGGTAGATGTTTTGTCATTCTATCCTTGAAATCAATTTTTTTCATTTTCATAATTCAGAAGCAAATTCGTCATTTGAGTTCAGTCTTGGCTTACCAAAAAGGGGGTGAATTTGAAATTTAATAGGGAAAATTTGTTTTCATTTCATGAACAATTAAATGAGTTATTAACAATTTTTAAAAAGTAAAAAGTATCCCATTCAATTAAATATTCAGATATCACCGAGCAGGGATGGCCATATTCATAAATCATAATTACCGTTAAATCTTGAAGCTGTCATTTAGTTAACATCATTCTTAAATTTTCAATTATTTTAGTAATCATAAATTTAAATATTCAAATTTTAAACTATTTTATTAATCAATAATTTAGGTAGGAAGATTGCCCATTATTTGGTCAATTGGTAATCCCTTTCAAGAAATTAGAATTATTTACTTAATGGAAAATTCACAGTCCCATATTATCAAATATTAATTCATCATCAATTGCAAATTTAAATTATTAATATCATACTCTTTTTATATTTTCATGAGAATATTAAAACCTTTATCAATGTACGTTGCAAATTCCTTTAATAAGGGAGAGTGGGGTAAAACGGTCCCTTTTGACTTTATTTGTGATACTCGTAACTCAGAAACAAATTCATTAATTGAGATCAGTCTAGGCTCATTCTAAAGGGAAAGAAGTGTAGATTCCATGGAAAAAAAATTATTTCATTTTATTTAAAATTGAATAAGCTATCAACATTTTCAAAAAAATCAAAAGAGGCCGTTTCCCCCACTCTCCCATATTCATGAAATTTAATATTGATGGCCATTCCTGTCAATGAGACACTTGTGTCGAGTACCTGATGAAAGATTTCTCGTGAACTCTCAGCAGTTTGAATGAACGTTTTGTAGTTGGAAAAAGCAAGCTCCTGAGTTGTCTGCAACACATTATTCTTCTCCTCTACCAAATGATCTGGTTCTTTACCTAAACAATGCCCATGAATTTTATCAATCAATTGTCTCCTTTATTTATTGTTTTTATTTACTGTTTTGTAATACTCACTCAATTGCTCCACGTCGAACGCCCCCAGTTTCGATAAGTACTGATAGAACTCTGGATTATCCTTCCACGAATCTGCGAATTTATCAACTGAATTATTACGAATACAAATTTTATTTACTTATTTATCGAAGACCTCACCTGTTGGCACTCCATCCGGAAAAACCAGCTCAATAACCTTTTCGGTTTCTATATCCATATTTAATACGACTTCTTAAAACTACAGGCAATGTACATCATTAAATTGCATAACTAATTGATAAACAAATAAACCTAAAACACATTTATAACTAAATTCCACAGAAATGACTGGAAAATAGACACTTTATCACGTACAACTGCTGACACCAGCTGACTCTCAATTGCCTGAAGCCTCTGGCACATGCGCAGTAGAGGCGAGCCCCGAGAATTGGCCTTCCTGAAATGACAACAAACAGTGAATCTCCCCTCATGTGTCTCAAACATTAATAAAATCTCCATGAAATAGTTAAATAATAACACTTTACCTCATTAGAACAGCAAACAAGTGAGCAGAGTAAGACCAATTGTGTATATAAAAAAAAAAATTAATTGTCCTTTAAAAAAAATCCTGGTATAACGGAAATTGTCACCGTTTTTCGTCTCCTAAGAACAGCAAACAAGTGAGCAGAGTAAAACCAATTGTGTATATAAAAAAAAAATTAATTGTCCCTTAAAAAAAATCCTGGTGTAACGAAAATTGTCACCGTTTTTCGTCTCCCAAGGACAACAAACAAGTGAGCAGAGTAAAATCAATTGTGTATATAAAAAAAATTAATTGTTCCTTAAAAAAAATCCTGGTGTAACGAAAATTGTCACCATTTTTCGTCTCCTAAGAACTGCAGACACGTGAGCAGAATAAGACCAATTGTGTACATAAAAAAAAAGTTAATTAATTGTCAGCCTAAAAATTGAAATGGATATGGAGGAGAATAACCCAACCCCTCAGGACCTCCAGCGAAAGCTGTACTTCCTGGTGGAGCAGCTGCAGAACATGGCAAGTTGTCTCCCCCCAAAGTACCAGATGCGACTGCCCTACGAGCTCCTCTCGGCCCTGGCCAATTCCCTCCTGAACGACACGATCTTTGAAATAGTCAAGGGGCTCATGGAGATCCAGCACGTCACTGAGAAGCACCTCTTCCAACAGCGTCTGCAGTTGTTGAATAAACAGAAGATCGAGATGCAGGAGACACTCGCGAATTTTATCACTGAGGAGGACAAACTCACCGCTCAGATTGCCCTGCAAGTCAAGCACAAAGCTGAGTTGAAGCAGAATGACATGAAGCTGGTTATGCAGCTGGACCAGAAGGTCGCGGACCAGCAGGGCATCCTGGAGAAGGCTGGGGTTCCGGGGTTCTACGTCACTGATAATCCTATGGAGATTCAGGTCCAGATGAGACTCTGCGATTTCATCATTCGTCTGAGCAAAATGGAGCCCAGCTAGCTGTTTGAAGACGTTTTACTTAGGTTACACTGTTGGAAATTGTGTGAGATTTCATGGAAAATATTGTAGCAAATCCCATGAGAGTGACATTGAATCGGATTTAGAGAAAAAATGATTATGAAATTTCAAGTTTTAAGTAGAATTCACGGAAATTCATGAGTTTTCAGTGGAACTTGAATATTCATAAACAAAATGACATGAATTTTCAATTGTTTCCTAAATTTTCCTGAATTTTCACCGAATAATTGCCCCAAAAATCAAGTATTTTATCGATTTCCAGATCATTTGAATAGAAAATCAATAGAATATTTCAATGACAAGATTTCCGGAAATTTCAGTGGAACTTATTTACTCGTCTGAGGAATATGGAGCCCAGCTAGCTTTTTTAAGACGTTTGACTAAAGTTACACTGTTGGGAATTTTGTGAGATTTCATAGAAAATATTGTAGTAAATCTCATGAGAGTGACATTGAATCGGATTTAGAGAAAAAATAATTATGAAATTTCAAGTTTTAAGTAGAATTCACAGAAATTCATGAGTTTTCAGTGGAACTTGAATATTCATAAACAAAATGACATGAATTTTCAATTTTTGCCTAAATTTTCCTGAATTCTCACCGAATAATTGCACCAAAAATCAAGTATTTTATCGATTTCCAGATCATTTGAATAGAAAATCAATAGAACATTTCAATGACAAGATTTCCGGAAATTTCAGTGGAACTTATTTACTCGTCTGAGGAATATGGAGCCCAGCTAGCTTTTTTAAGACGTTTGACTAAAGTTACACTGTTGGGAATTTTGTGAGATTTCATAGAAAATATTGTAGTAAATCTCATGAGAGTGACATTGAATCGGATTTAGAGAAAAAATGATTATGAAATTTCAAGTTTTAAGTAGAATTCACGGAAATTCATGAGTTTTCAGTGGAACTTGAATATTCATAAACAAAATGACATGAATTTTCAATTTTTGCCCAAATTTTCCTGAATTTTCACCGAATAATTGCACTAAAAATCAAGTATTTTATCGATTTCCAGATCATTTGAATAGAAAATCAATAGAATATTTCAATGACAAGATTTCCGGAAATTTCAGTGGAACTTATTTACTCGTCTGAGGAATATGGAGCCCAGCTAGCTTTTTTAAGACGTTTGACTAAAGTTACACTGTTGGGAATTTTGTGAGATTTCATAGAAAATATTGTAGTAAATCTCATGAGAGTGACATTGAATCGGATTTAGAAAAAAAATGATTATGAAATTCCAAATTTTAAGTAGAATTCACGGAAATTCATCAGTTTTCAGTGAGAATGAGATGGAAATTTCCCATCTTGGTTAAATTTTCAGTGGAACCTGAATATTCATAAACAAAATGACATGGATTTTTAATTTTTGGCTGAATTTTTCAGATTTTTCTGAATTTTCACCGAATAATTGAACTGAAAAGTCAAGTATTTCGTTGATTTCCGGATCATTTGAACAGAAAATCAATAGAATATTTGACTTTTCAATGATAAGATTTCCAGAAATTTCAGTAGTGATTGAACACGAGAAAAATTTCCGGAATTCGGTACGGAAAATTCAGACGAAAATTGTAGCTAAGAAAACAGCTATGCAGTTGTATTTATTTATAAATAAGTTTTATTCTCAATAGTATTTTTATAGAATTTTTAATGTATTTTAATATCAATGGAGTTACGAAATTTGTACATATTCACACTATTTTTTACTCTTTGTTAATTAACGACGAATCGGTGATAATTTTCTACAGGAAACGATTGTTAATTCAATGTTAAAATCAGTTCGTCCATAAATTTGTTCACGTTTATGGTATTAAAACTGGGATTTTTTTTTTATCAATCAGGAATTGTCTGCAGGAATGCACCCAGCGGCACATCTAATTCTCCAAAATATTCTATAATAAACTATTACTTGTGATAGATGAAAAAATAGTCCCACATTTGTATTCATTTATGTCCAAATAACTTATTTTCAATAGTATTCTTATAGAATTTTAAATGCTTTGTACGCATTTTATATTTTGAATTTTTTGTATTTAACAATTTATTTATTCGCATCTTCATCGAGGCAATTAGCGATTATTTATAAAAAAAATATACAAAAAAGTAAAAAGAAATGGAATTAATACAAAAAAGGAAATTTAAAAAAAAATCAAATCCCATCCAAGCACAGTATCATATTAGACGTTTTAACTATTTTCAGATTCGACTAATGGTTTCGCATTTTTTCAAATATGATTCAATTTTAGAATAACAATCGTCGCGGTTTAGGCATTCTTTCAAGTTACTAGGGAGATCCGATTCGATACGGATTCTGTTACAGCTGTTGTCCTCAATTAATAAACCATCTGTAAATATTTCAATTTCACGATTCAATCTATTCATCAATTTCACAAACCCAACCTTCGACGATTTTTCGCATTTCCTCAAATAGCTAAATACACTATTCCTTCTGATAGGTAAAAAAGTGATTCCACAATTGTATTCATTTATGTACAAATAACTTTTATTTTCAATAGTATTCTCATAGAATTTCAAACGCCTTATCATACGCAATTTAACTTCTTCATTACCAATGAAATTACACCTGCAAATATTTACACTATTTTTACTCTTCGTCGATCAACAACAAATCACTGATCATTTTCTACAGTAAACCATCGTCGAGTCCCTCCAGAAATCAGTTAATCAGTTAATCCAACAAATTGTTCACGTTTTGGTACTAAAACAGAGATTTTTTCGATAATGACGTCTGGCCTGCAGGAATGTGCCCACTGGATGCTCCAAATTAAAAATACTTCAACCCAGTCACACATCCTCCTGCTTCTTCCCATGAACCGAAGCAGCCTGAGGTGGCACCTCCGTGCTGGAAGCCTCCCCCTTCAAGAACATCTCCGCCCTCCCCTGTTCCCCAAAGCATATCCTATAAACATCCTCGAAAGTGTTCGCAAAGTGGACCTCCAGTCCATCAGTAATGTACTTGGCCAGATCATTGAAATCTTTTTTATTCTCCTCAGGAAGAATAATGCACTTGACCCCAACCCTCTTGGCAGCAATGGTCTTCTCCTTGATTCCCCCAACAGGCAGTACCTTCCCAATGAGACTCAGCTCCCCAGTCATGGCCACATCCTGCCTGATGGGCTGATTCTTGGCGAGTGACACCAGAGCTATTGCAATTGTAACCCCTGCACTGGGTCCATCCTTGGGTGTCGCCCCTTCAGGCACATGAAGATGCAGATGTGCATCATACAAGAAAGTATTCGACGGCTCAGTATTATTCATAAAATTCCTAGCAACTGTCATCGCAATCCTCGTCGACTCCTTCATAACGTCCCCCAGGTGTCCAGTGATCTCCAGCGACCCCTCAAATTTCTTCGAATTAGAGGGTTTACTCAGAGTCGTTTCGATGAAGAGAGTGGAGCCACCCATGGCCGTCCAAGCCAGTCCCATCACCACCCCAGGAGGGGTGGTATCGTGCATTCTGTCGTGAGTGAACACTGGTTTACCCACGAAATCACTGAGATTATCAGCAGACACATCGACCTTCTCGGCCTCCTTCTTGACTACCTTGAAGGCAACCTTTCTCGACACCTTCTCAATGTGCTTCTGGAGATTCCTGACACCTGACTCACGACAGTAGGCTTTGATCAACGTGTTCAAGGCACTGTCCTCGATCTTTATGTGCTCGTCACTGAGTCCAGAGTCCTTCATCGCCTGTGGCACGAGGTACTGCTTGGCTATCGCTAATTTCTCCTCAGCCACGTAACCAGACATGTCTATCATCTCCATTCGATCTCGCAGGGGCTCTGGAATGGTGTCCACGATGTTGGCAGTGCAGATGAAGAGGACCTTTGACAGGTCCACTGGGACGTCCAGGTAGTGATCCAGAAAATTTGCGTTCTGCTCTGGATCCAGCATCTCCAGCAGGGCCGAGGCAGGATCGCCCTGGTGACCCTTGCCAATCTTGTCGACTTCGTCGATCAGCACCAGGGGATTCTCTGTCTTCGTTTTCTTCAGGCATTGGATCATTTTTCCAGGCATTGCACCCACGTACGTTCTCCTGTGGCCCTTTATCTCGGCCACATCTGTCATTCCACCAACGCTGAAGCGGAAGTACTCGCGATTCAGGGCACGGGCTATTGAGCGCGCTATCGAGGTCTTCCCGACACCTGGGGGACCGTGGAAACAGAGGATTTTTCCCTGGGTGGTGCCTTTCAGTTGGGAGACGGCGATGAACTCGAGAATTCGCTTTTTTATGTCCTCCATTCCGTAGTGGTCCTCGTCGAGGATTTTGACGGCTTCTTGCAGGCTCAGGTTCTCGGGACTCGTCACACCCCAGGGGAGGGATGTCAACCAGTCGAGGTAGTTTCGGGTTACACTGGAAGAATGGACATTCAGTGAATTAATATGAGGGAAATGATATTAATTAAAATATTATGATATTTGGATTATTATAATATTTTAATATTATTATTTTATCAATTATTATTAATATTATTAATATTAAATAATGACAAGTCAATTTTAAACATCTCATTAATTGTCAAATTATCTCAATAGCCATATTATTCCCCTCATATTTCACATAATAAATATAATATAGGGGAATAATATGGGTATTGAGATAATTTGACAATTAACGAAATCTCTAAAATTGACTAGTCATTATTTAATTTTTCACAAATACGAAATAATCGTCAAAAAACTCAACGAAGCAATTCCCTAATTATTCACCCACAATAAAATGTTTTTCGATATATTCTCATCAACATAACTCACTTGAACTCACTGCTATGACTCTCCAAGAAACTCAATTTATTCAATTCCTCCTCCAGCACATCCATCACATGCTTGGGAACGGTCTTCTGTCTGATCCTCTCCCTGTACTTCTCCTCAATAGCATCTTTGTCGTCCTTTTCCAATCCCAACTCCTTCTTTATCACCTTCAGCTGCTCGTGGAGGATGTATTTCCTGTGTTGTTGCTTTACCTTCTCCTCCACTTCCCTTCCAATCTTCTGCTGAAGCTTGCTCAACTCGTATTCTTTCTTCAGAAGGGCTAGAGACAGTCTCAGACGTTTGTGAATCTAAAGAATTAATGATCAACTCATTTAGTAATCAATATTATTATTATAACAAATAATAATATCAAAAAAAAATTCTAATAATCGATATTAATAATAATATCTTTTTATTATTATTATTATTATTATTATTATTTTAATCAGTAGTCCCAATAATAAATAAACGTTAATAAAAAAAATCTCCCCTGAATAATATTATCGTTGAAGTATATAAAAACTTTATAGAAAATTAACCATACATCCATTTCTTCCAACACTTGCTGCAGCTCCTGAGCATCAGCACCTGTCAGAGCAGCTCCCAAGTCACTCAGATAAACTGGATTATCAACAACTCGTTGGCCCTGATGCAGCATTTGTTGAAGGGACTCTCTGTACAAGGGATTCATGCTGATTATGTCTCGAATCGTCTTGATTAATTCCTGTGTCAGTGCCTGAATTCCAAAATTCAAGTGAATTAATTTATGAATTACCTCTTAATTAAGTAAATTTAATCTTACCTTGATCTCTTCAGTCTGTCGAAACTTCTCGTGCGTCACATTAACGACCTCAACCATCAGCACTGGTTGTCCAGCTGTGGTTTCACGAGGTGGAGCAGCCTCTGGAGCTGCAGCAGCCTCGTCAGCACTCTCCGGGGGCTTCTCTTCATTTTTCATTTCAGAGATCACCTCCTCTGGCTTATCAGTCGTTCCCAAGGCTTCGTTCATTTTTTCATCCACTCTCTTTCGTCTGTAGGGCCGGGTCTTCTTCCCTGGGGCCGTTGTCTCGTCTACGGGGACGTTAATTGTGGTATTTAGTAGTGGAAACGTCAGTTTCATCTCTGCATAAATCATTCAGAGAAGCAGAAGTTATAGAAGGGCTGCAATCGTACTTAAAATATTCAAGTAAGCAAGAGGCAAAATTAGTGTTCTTGTCTTCTTCATTTTAAAGCCTCAAAATAATCTTCGAAATTGAAAAAAAAATGTTGGAGTTCACTCTGCAGATCTCTAGTTATTGATGATTAACAAGTGAATAATTACATTTTTTTTTATAAATGAGTGGAGTTATTGTTGCTAATAAATTATCGATTCGCTTCTGAATGGGTTCTCTTTTTTTTTTAATTCTCATTTCGCTATTCTCTTCTATTTTTTCATGTGATGGTACTATCAACAATTGAAATGTCATCAAAATTTTGCATATTACTTCGTTCTATCAAATAATTCTATATTCAGACCCTCTCAAGACTCGAATTCATTTTCAGTCCGGATTTAATCAGGGTTTATTCAAGAGAGAATTGTTATCAATTTTTTGAGCCATCACTAATTCCATTTTGTTGAACATTTTTCGAAGGATCGTTGAAAAATCCATTTTTGGAAAAATATTTAATTTTTCGAATTAGTATGGAAAATTGAATTTTAATTGGTGCCAATGAATAGAGTTTCTTAGAGTCTATATTTATGAAAAAATACTGAATATGGTCTTACCATGCGGTGGTTTAACTTCCAAGTCCTCCAGTATCTGATTGACAATTTTAATTCTCCTGTGAGCCATGATGACGAGCCTCAGTCTGTCCCCAAGGTCCTGAACTTCATGAATTTGGGCGAAAGTACCCACTGAGTACACGTCCTCCAGATTCTGAACAACTTCCGCTTCATTTCTGGGGGGAATACATGAATAGATAAGAAATGATCGAGCTGTTACCTAAAAATACCCAAATAATTGACACCTACTCTTCACTCTTCTTCAAGAAAATCCCAACGTACGGCTGATTCAACTTGACTTTCCTCCTGATCAAATCAATCAGAATGGGATTCGTTAGTTCAATGAGTTTGATGAACCGAGGAAAGACTGGATTTCTACTGATGGCGATGAGTGGCACATGTGGCCATACTTCAGGTACAACAACAGTTGCTGGCAATGTAGCTGGGTAGGGCTCAGGTGCCTCAGCCTCTGCAGCTTCAGTCTCTCTAGAAGAAATCATTAGCAAGAGTTAAATATCTTTTTTTTTTAACAATTCTTGTAGTATTTTTCTATGAAGCTGAATCTAGGGGTGTACAAGTGTTTTTAAGTAATGTACAAACTCTTTCTCACTTAAAAAACATTTGTACATATAATTATTTGATTCTCCTATACTTAAATATCCCCTAAATTGAATTTTCCACTGACGACTAGTCTGCTGGTTTCAGCTTCATTATTTTTCTTGGTTTATATTCATAAATCGTCAATATCTCCTGACGGTTCACCGGCATTTCTTCCCCAACAAAATTTCCCAGACATTTTTACCCCCCAAATTTGCTTCGCACATTTCTCTCCCGACATTTCTTCCTTCAGAATGCATCCAAACACTAATTTTTTCCCCTTCCATTTCCCTCCAATTTTGACAATTGCTCAGTTTTTAATAAATATTTCGGAATCTAAGGCAAATAGCAAAATTTGTGCTACAACCTTTTTTGTAGAGCTAATTAAGAGATACAAAAAAGCTTAGCATTAGAATTTCCATATTGAACCGTTAGAAAAAATTTTAAAAATCTGAAAAAAATGAGAAAGTCTATTTTTGGAGGAAAATTGATGAAATAATTAAAAAATTACAGTTTTCGAAAATTACGAGCATTACAATTCTATAAATCATTGATAAACAATCAATTTTCGACCATAAAACTCATTTGTTCAGAATCGTAACAAATTTATTCATATTCAGAATTTTACCAGAAATCGATTTCATGCCTAAAAAAATAAGGTTTCCGAAAGTTTAAACAATTTTAATTATTCATCCATAAACAACGAATGTTTAAAATAATAATTCCGTGTAAAATGTAATTTGAATGACCCTGAAAATTCGTGATTTTTTAAAAATTTCTCACGCAATAATTGGCAGATTAATTTAACAAATTAATTTAATTTTTTTTACGCAATTAATTGACAAATTTGACGATTGAAAATGGTTGAATCATACTGCGGTCTACACCAAACTGCAGAAGATACTTCGATATCCTTATGCCACACACATCATGATTAACAGAAATTAAACATTCAATACTGTTTTTTTCTCATAAATAAAATTAATGAAGAAAGAAATGTGCGAGGAAAATTTGGGAGGAAAGAAATATCGAGGAAATTTTACCGGGGAAGGAAAGACCCTCTTGACCAAATGGTGCGATTTCAACAAGTCGGGCCTCATTTTAAAGCCTAGAAAACCAGCTTCAACCTGAAAAAATAATTATCGAAATTCACTCTGCCAATCTTCAGTTATTGACGATTAACCATCGCTCTCTTCACCCTCACCCCCCTAGACGTGTGATAATTCCTGAATGTCCTTGGGGGTACCGTCTCACCCCAGGGCACAATTAAAAGCTTTCATCCAATCAATTAATCAATCAATCAATCCCCAAATGAAGTAGAAATGCATAACAGTTCACTGCTATTTGACTACTCACGGTGGAGGGTCATCAGAGGGTTTTTTCGTGGAAAACTGACGAATGCCAGACGTCGTCAGTGCTCTCCAGTTCCTCTGCTGACAGGCTCCCACTCCTTCGTGGCTGTTGAACCATCCGCTTCTTCTCCTCACCGGCAAGCCCTGCCGATGGGCAACTCCACTCGCCCTCGAGAAAACTCGACTCACTGACACCCGATGACTGAACACTGGGAGCAATTTCCCATTAATTGTGCTGATTAATAATCTCATTGTGATTATCTCCAGGTGTCTAACATTTGCTGAGGGCTGTGGACACCAGTCGTTTCTCCGTCGACTTCTAGAGAGTTCGTTCTGGGTGATAAATACGAGATGACGCAAGGTTATGGCCTGGACTCGGCAATACTCGTACCATAACCTCAACTTTTCAAACTGCAGCGAGACCTAGCCTTTCTTACGGCTTCGGACAGCCTCGGGCATTTCCGGGGGTTCAAATTGTTGTTCATTCAGGGCAGGGGGGCGGGTAGATTTTGTTTAATAATTTTTGTCCCATTCGTTTGGGGGTAAAGATGAATGAGCACAGGACGATTTCTTCGAAAGCTGCTTCCATTGTTCTAGGGTCGAACGCCAGTGGCAGGAAGTTCGCGGTGGGTTCATCAGTTGGTCGAGCGGTCAGCCCTTATTTCAACACGGGATCTCAGCAGCCTCTCGCTGATTTGAGTAATTTTTATATGGAGATTAAGGAGAAAGCGCCGTTGAAGTGCAATGTGGGCATGTCGAGGATGATCTCTTCTAGGGAGGTGTCGAAACATAGGGTGACGAAGAAGGCGGAGGTCGTTGCTGATGTCAAGGAGAATGACGAGGATTTCTTCGCGAAGCTCATGAAGAATATGGATGAGGACATGAAGAAGTGAGTGGTATTGGGGGATGAGGTGAAATTAAATCAGGGGAAAATGGATGTTTTGGGGACATGGGGGTAATGAAGATGGTGGTTTTTTGGGAAGATATGTTTGGAGAAAAACGAAAGTTTCAAAGAAGATTTATATGAAAATTTGATTATTTTACTTGAATTCAGATATATTCATCGAAAGCTGATTGTTTATTTGAGTTCATTTCGGTTTATACATTACATTTTTCATGAAAATCTTTCATTTTATGGGGAGACAGAACTAGAAAAGAAATTGCTGTCTCGTAGAGAGATATGTTAATTGTAGAATGACGAGGATTTATTCACGAAAATTCTGGTGAATATGGATGAGGATATGAAGATGGAAATGATATTGGAATGGGTAAGATAAAATAAAATCAGTTGCAAGTTGATTTTTTTGGGTAATTATGGAAAAAAGAAGATGGTTGCCTTTTTGGGAAGATATGTTTGGAGAAAAACGAAAGTTTCAAAGAAGATTTATATGAAAATTTGATTATTTTACTTGAATTCAGATATATTCATCGAAAGCTGATTGTTTATTTGAGTTCATTTCGGTTTATGCATTACATTTTTCATGAAAATCTTTCATTTTATGGGGAGACAGAACTAGAAAAGAAATTGCTGTCTCGTAGAGAGATATGTTAATTGTAGAATGACGAGGATTTATTCACGAAAATTCTGGTGAATATGGATGAGGATATGAAGATGGAAATGATATTGGAATGGGTAAGATAAAATAAAATCAGTGGCAATTTGATATTTTTTTGGGTAATTATGGAGAAAAGAAGATGGCTGCCTTTTTGGGAAGATATGTTTGTAGAAAAGTGAAAGTTTTAAAGAAAATTTATATGAAAATTTTATTATTTCACTTGGATTCAGATATATTCATCGAAAGCTGATTGTTTATTTGAGTTCATTTCGGTTTATACATTACATTTTTCATGAAAATCTTTCATTTTATGGGGAGACAGAACTAGAAAAGAAATTGCTGTCTCGTCTAGAGAGATATGTTAATTGTAGAATGACGCGGATTTATTCGCGAAAATTCTGGTGAATATGGATGAGGATATGAAGATGGAAATGATATTGGAATGGGTAAGATAAAATAAAATCAGTTGCAAGTTGATTTTTTTTGAGTAATTATGGAAAAAAGAAGATGGTTGCCTTTTTGGGAAGATATGTTTGTAGAAAAGTGAAAGTTTTAAAGAAGATTTTTATGAAAATTTTATTGTTTCACTTGCATTCATCGAAAGCTGATTGTTTATTTGGGTTCATTTCGTTTTATGCATTACATTTTTTATGAAAATCTTTCATTTTATGGGAAGACAGAACTAGAAAAGAAATTGTTACCTCGTCTAGAGGGATATGTTAATTATAGAATAATGGGATTTCTTCGTGAAAATGGTGAAATGTTCCGTAATTTTTATTGAATATATCTCTCCGTGTAAGCGTGAGGTGCAAAAGAGCGTACGTTTCCATCACATCGCAGCATTCACAACACTTTTCCATGAATATCTTCCTTCTTATGAAGCAGAAAGCTCTACAAAACACGTTGTATAATGAAAATTCCTTTGATTTGTCTCGCTTACGTTAATTATTTCCCTAGAAATCCCGGGCTGCCCTCCATCGGTGTCACCAAAACCTCTCGACAGAAGAAAAGCCACGGCTGCGAGGCCAGTCTCAAGCTGATGAATAACTTCAAAGAGTCCATGAAAGCTCAAGATGCAAGCCTCAGAGCTTCGCCAAAGACTGATGTGAATGTTCCCCCAGGACAGATGAGGCAGACTCCTCCAAGGCATGAGGATCCACCCCTCCCATCTCAATCTGGTCTGTCTCAGCCTCCCATGTTGGAGAAGATATCTTTACTGCGGAAATACAGTAATGTGACTTCTCATTACGAGAGTGACGACTTGTTCGATCCTCCGAATCTGCTGAAGGAGAGAATTTTAACGAGTTCAACATCCTCGAGGTATTCCCACCTAGTTGATTATTTCAAATGATCACTTCGGTGATTGATCATCTCGACAGAAAACAGAAGAAAATTTTTTGAACGAAATTTTCTTCGATCATGTTATTTAATTTTTTGCTTGGGAATGGAAATTGTGTAATTGTTCAAATTTTATTTTTGGATTTATATCGACTCATTACGACCCAAAAAGCCAATTTTAATAAATAAGAAACTGTTGAAGGAAAACAAACACCGAAACGTGAATAGGAAATATACACTGGCAGAAAAAATAAATTTTATCAAGAGAATTTTAGTGAACCAACGATCATTTGGTAGTTAATTTTCAAATGAACATAATTTCATAGTGAATACCAGTTAGCTCTTTTTGAGATACATTTGATTGGGAGAAATCGAACTCCTCTAGAATTGAAGTTCCGTTTATTTGTCGCAATAATGAGAGTATTTGATTCCTTTCTAGCCAAAAGTTTGCTAACTCCAGAAATTCGTTGGTTTACTCAAAAATCAAAATTATTCTCATGACTATATACGTTGTCATCTCAATCAACACGATCATACGTTGTTCCAAGTAAATTATAATTGAAGTGAGCATTTCGTATGTCGAATCAGGATGAATATTGTTACGCGGAAAAAGCTTTGAGATTGTAGTAAGATGTCGTTGAGTTGAAAGAAGTTTATATTTCTTGACTAAAAAAAATTGCATTAGTTTACAATAACAGAATCACAGATTACGGCAATTCAACACAAACTTGGATATCACAAATTTCATTCAATGTGATGTATGGAAAGCTCAATTTAAACATCGGCTTCATTCGAGAAAACAACATTCAATTGATTCCTCAATGTAATCATCTCCTAGGTACGAATTTTTTATCAATTCATGAAAGTAGAAAATTTCTCGACTGCAGATTATATTAGATTTTAAAAAATTGAACTTTTCCATTTTCGTGATGAATACATGTGACTTGACGCCAAGGACTGTTTTATTTGATTCAAGTAAATGTATCTCAAGAAGAAATAATTGATGTTCACCGTAAGATCTTATCTATTTGAAATTGGTGCAAGTGTATAGTGCTTGTTCCAAGAAAGAAACATCTCAATAAGAATAATTTTTTCTATCAGTGTATCGTGTGAAGACGAGAGCAATTTCCCACTTGTTTATCCAGGAATCGAAGACTGTTCAATCGTTCTTCAGAGAGGACTCTGGCCAAACACTCTCGGACCTTCAGAGCCCCGAGACCAAGAGCCTTCGCGGTGTCTAAGGCGAATGGTGGGAATGAATCCTCACGACGGATAGGACAGACAGTCCCTAAACATTACGAGAATCCTTCTCCCAGGTTGGAGATGATATCTCACGTGCAGAAGTATCACAGTGATAGTGTCAATTATGACAGTGAAGATCTGGTCGAGAGACAATCAATAATGAGTGAACCTAGTTTATTGAGGTATTTTCATCCAGTTGTTGATCGATTAATTACTTCGAGAGAAGATTGTAATGATTGAGAAATTTTTTTGAGATTTCCCATCTGCATTGATACATAATTTAATTTCTGCAGATCTCCAGGGTTCTACCAGACAATTTCTGACTCAGAGAATTATCCAGACCCCAATGAAAGCTGGATCACCACAGACGTGGCTTATCATAGCTTCATGACGTCCAGCACCAACAGTATGACTCGTCAGAGAAGTGATGACTCGCTGGATTGACTCAATCATTCACAAATTATTTTGATATATTCTAATGATTAAATAATTACATTTAGTTAATTATCTCTTATAATTTTGCAATTATTTTTGTAATTATTCATTTTGTACTCATTCAATCGAAGCTTTCATGTCAAAATTGTAAACTCATTAATTATTGTCCAATAATCATAATAAAAAAAATGAACTTCTGTATATTTTAATATCTACTGACCAAATGAACTAATTTGAATGTAATACCTCTCATTTTAAAGCATAAAAGCATTCAAAACAAAAAAAATTCTCTACTCCACCGAGATGAAATTTGAAAGAAGGAATTTTAAAGAAGAAGAAAGAAATAAAGAAGAAATTTTAAAAAACTATCAAATTTACCCATTCAATACTTCTGGTACTTGAAAATAAGTGGTGTGACCCCCCTAAAATCTTCAAAAAACACCTTCAAAACAAAAAAAATCCCTACTACACTGAGAAGAAATTTTAACGAAGAAAAAATGAAGAAGAAATTTTTAAAATTGCCAAATTTACCCATTCAATACTTCTTGTACTTGAAAAAAGTGGTGGGACCCCCCTTAAACCTTCAAAAAACGCCTTCAAAACAAAAAAAAAATCTTTACTCCATCGAGAAGCAATTTTAAAGAAGAAAAAATAAAGAAGAAATTTAACAAAACTATCAAATTTACCCATTCAATACTTCTGGTACTTGAAAATAAGTGGCGTGACCCCCCTTAAACCTTCAAAAAACGCCTTCAAAACAAATAGGGTTGTTCCACAACCCTCCATAGGGTTGTTCCAGGCATGTCCTATGCCTTGTATTCATACTCTAATGTCCAAATGGGTGCCCGCTAATGAACGGGGACGAATGGGTAATTGGTTTGTGCAGAAAATTATGAAAAAAATTGACATTTCATGGACAGTCGGCTGTTAATTTTCAGAGTTAATTTGCAGAGTGACATTGAATGGGATTCAAAGGGGGAAAATTTGTGAAATTGCAGATGTCACTGGAAATTCAATGAAATTTTTAAAGTTTTGAACAGCATTGAGATGAGAATTCCTCAAACTATTTGAATTCTCAATGAAATTATAAAAAATATTTAATAAAATCATGAATTCAAGAACACATCCCGGAATTTCCTGATTTCTACTAATTTTCAGGGAATAATTTAACTCAAATTTACAATTCTCATTGATTTTTCCATGAAATTCTTTCAATGACAAAATTGTTTCAAATTCCAGTGGAACTCTAATGTGACGTAAATTTCCAAGAGGTGTACCGGAAATTTCAGCCAAAAATTTTTAACAGTGTAATTCTTGGGGATTTCTTATTCAGGTACTTTGACGTACTCTGGAGTAGAATTCGCATCGGTAATTGCATATCCCATATCTGGGGCTCTGATCGATGCCGTCGGATGGAGAAGTGTCTTCTACGTATTTGGACTTGTAACAATCAGCTGGTCACTCATTTTCTTCTTCACTGAGGCTGATTCACCAGCTTCATCAGCTGAGAAAATATTTTTTAGTGTTAGTGACTCTGAGAAAATGTACATTGAGTGTAATGTAGGAAGCTTTGAGGAGGAATCCGTCGACAATACGCCTGTGAGTTTACACGCAAAAATACACGGACGAAAAAATTTAATAGAAAAACCTATCGAATTCGTTAGAAAATTCTATTGAACTGTTCTACTAGTTTTTGGCCGATTCTATTGAAATGTTCAATAGAAAATATTCAGTAGAAAAAATAGAATTCTATGTAACTTATTCTATTTAGATATTTTCTGTAGAATTTTCTCAGCTCAAATTTTCTAAGTTTTATCCTTTGATTTTCTTGATGAGGAGAAAAGAAAAATAGAATGAAAAAAAATTAAAAAATTTGAGTCGAATAAATTCTATATAAAATATATGAAAAGAATAATTTATGTAGAAAAATCGAATTCTGTTGACTTTTTCTATTGAATGTGTCAATAGAATCATGTCAATAGAATCAACCAAAAACTAATAGAAAGTTTAATAGAAATTCAATACAATTTTCTAACGAATTCGATAAGTTTTTCTATTAAATTTTTTCGTGCGTATAGACATTTCGTTGTTTTTTCTAGGAGAGTAACATAAAACGAACCGCTTTCAAACGTTAACAAAGCTTGAAAATGGGAATGAAATAGGAAAACTTTACTCTCCTTGTATATCAGATCCATTCTATAACAGACAATATTATTCTCCTCCAATTGGGCCATATACTAGATACCGTGTTTAGTATCCATTTTCAGGGTTACGAGTGCACTCGGTATTTTTTTATATTTTTTGGTGTGTAAAATTCGAATTTGAAGGTCATTTTGTCGAGAATCGATTTAATTAAAAGCAAGGATCCCCATCAATATTAAATTTCTGTAATATTATAAGGATTTGACCCTTACATTATTGAAGGTTTAAAATATGTTGATTCAGTTTTTCAAATAATATAATATTAATAATCTGATTTTTTACGAATAATGATATATTTAAAACTTGTTGATATGAAACTGTAAATTTGCTACTAAGTGAATAATTCAAATTTCGTGAAAGGGAATTTTCGATTACACAAGTAATCGTCAATCTTCCTACCTCAAATTATTGATTGATAAAATAATTGGAGATTTGAATATTTGAATTGATGATAATTAAGTACTCAAAAAATTTCAAGAGTTGTTATCTAATTAAGGGCTACAATATTACCCGTAATAAAATATTACAAATTTGGCTATCCCTGATTAAAAGTTATTAACAATTCAATTGTTGACATCAAGTTTTCTCAGAAACTATCCAAGATAGGAAACAATAGTTCAAATAATAAATGTTCCTCTTTTCAAACTAAACATGAATGTTCTTATGCAGAAGCATTGAAATCGTTCAATTTTTAGATTCTCTGCTTTTGTGTGTTTCCTATTCTAATTATATCCGAAGATATTGAGATATTGTCAAATGAATCGGTACGTATATCAGCGTGAAATTTAACATTCGGATATCTCGGAAAATAATCCAGGTAAATATGTATAGTAGGGGCCTCACCCCCGATTTAATCCAGAAATCGGAAATCGTATTTGATAATCCAAATAGGAAAAAAATCCATGCATACAAATATATTTAGTTTTACAAAAGGAACATTTTTCATTCCAACCGTTTTTTCCTATCTCGAATAGTTTTCGAACAAACTCGGTTTCAACAATTGAATTGTTAATAACTATTTTTCGCATCATTTATTGGCAGAACGCCCTTCAAATTCGGATTCTACGCACAGAAAAACATGAAACAAAAATACCAAGTCGACACGCAACTCTCAAAACGGATACCAAATGGTATCTAGCGTATGGACTGGATTCTTGGTTCACAGAATTCGAAGACACCTTGGAGGGCGATCGCAATGAGTTCACCATTCTGGGTCCTCGTTATGGCTCATTCTGGACAGAATTGGATATTTTATATGCTGCTCAATGAAATACCACTTTATATGTCTGAGATTCTTGGCTTGGATATCGCAAAAGTGAGTACGAAGTTGCGGAATTAAGTACAAATTTTATCCTTATTTCATTCCCTTAAAGAATCGAAAGCACAAGGCCTACATCCTCATAGAGATGAACACATAAATTATACAGGCCTCGAATAAATACTATGAAATATGAACACTTTCGACTTTTTTTTAAATGTAAATAATTCATGGAACAGTTGGTGAAAAACGGGATCACTTCTTTCTCTTGTAAAGCAGAATTCTTCCTCATTGTAATGAATTTATTTCTGAGTTATGAACATCCGAAGAAATCTTAACCCTCCCCTATACATTCTGCTATGAAGAGTAGCATTAAACAAAATTATAAAATATTTAAGAATAAACTAGAATATAATTTTTGACAGCAATACCCCTGTCTGGACTATCTGTCAATATCTATACTAAATGTCAATATTTACCAATTAATATTTAATCAATTAATATTCAGTCCAGAATTATAATTACTTAAAAATTATAATTATGCTGACCCCCATTTCGATCATAATGCTAACCCTTATCCTGGCTCAAATTTTAACCGTTGAGATCCTAGTGGCCTTTGTGTTTTTTTCAATGCCCCCCGGGTTCCACTCGGCACTACTATCCAACCCTACGCGTGCGGCCGTGGATTTTACACTGTACCGCATTCGCACTTCTATAGAACACAGGACTAGCATAGGAAACCACAGGAAACCCATGCCGGTACAAGCGGTTACTCTATTATCAACCTTCCGCTCCCCGGGCCATCAGGTTGAAAAATTCGGTTTCACTCGGCATCGAACCTCTCATGCAAGAAGGCTCGAGCATGAGAGTTACAAAGGGAGTGAATATAGGGATGAAACCATCAAGGTGAAGCCATAAGAATCATTTTTATTTCATTCATTCGATAAAATACCAAATTATTCAATAAAATAAGGAACAACGTACATTTCATACATTCAACTAAACGAAATGAACTGTTTTCTCCTACAATTATTAATCTCTATCTATGAAACTACATTATCGACTCGATTGTCGCATTCTTGAGCCAATGAAGTAATTTAATGAATAAAAAATAGTAATTACAAGAGAAAACACAATTGTAAAAGTTCATATAGACACAGGGGTTCCGTTTCCCCTTCAGCGGAGACTACTATGAGTTTTAAAAGGCGCGGGGTAGGACCTTTTGGGATGAGATTTCTCATATTTTTAAGATCGATTATATACGTCTAATAACGAATCATTAGTGCAAAAAAATAATTGTTTATTGTTCTTTTTTCCCGTAGTTGCTTAAAATATTGAAAATAGTCCAGGGCCTCCGATTTTTTAGCTACAGAGGCTTTTTTTTCAAAATTTTTGAAAAAATGTGTGCAATAACCATTACGAATTGGTTTTCTATGGTCTAAGTATAGGCTCATGTGTTTTCATACTTACGTAAAATCCGAAATGTGTGTCACTCCCCGATGTGTATGTGTTGAATAAACTATGTCACCGCCCGTGACCCTCCTAGAATCCCCACATGACCCCGATATATTTTGTATTTCGCTAAAAAGTTATAATTAAAATTTCACTAGAAATAATTAAAAATTACAATTATCCTGACCCAAATTCCGACCACAACCCTGCCCCTGATTCTGACGATTTCGATTTATATAATATAGAGATTTTCTTTATTAGCATCTAAATATAACTATTTAAATCATTCTCATCGGAATATTAAATGATTCTCATCCGGAATTAACACCATAATTGTTCCCGCAGATTCCGGGACTCTTGGTCGAAGTTACGAAGCCAGAAACTGTAAGTTTTTTCCTCATCAGCTCCTTGCAGGGCATTAGCTGTAGGAAATCCAAGTAGAGCAAATTAATCAACCAAGTTACTAACTTACAATTATTCGATAGTAGTGATGCCGCGAGACATTTCACGAGACATCACGAGACAATACTTTGGAGAGATTGTCTCGGCCTCGATGAACACGGAAAATTTTGGTCTCGTCTCAGTCTTGAAGTGCAGTATCAACTCGTCTCGTGATGACTCCGAGTCAATTTATCTCATCTCGGTTTTCAGTTTTTCGAGTTTTTTATATGTAGAAAACCGAGACGAGACAAGCCGAGACAAAAACCGAAATTTTACATTAAAAAACACGAAAAACTTGAGGCCGAAATGAGATAAATTGACTCGGAGTCATCATCACGAGAGGAGGCGACACTGCGTATTTCGAGAATGAGACGAGAGCAGCGATTTTCCTGTTCATTGAGAGCGAAATCATCTCTCCAAAGTTTTGCCTCGTAAAGTGTCTCGCGGCATCACTGTTCGATAGCCTCACCTCCTTTGAGATGTTCCTCACTCTCTTCGTAAACACGTTTTGCGAGAACTTTATCCGGAGTGCTATCTTCCAAAAATTTTTTTATGTACTCCAGGTCGAAAGCTCCGTTCTTAAACTAAATTGAAAAATTAGGATTGAATATTCTTACATAAGAGCAGATTTTAATGTGGAAATCGAAGAAAATTTTGGAATGGGTTATTCTTTTTTTTCAATGCTCCGATTCTCAGAAAGTAAATAAACAATTCGAACTTACGTATCCATAACCAGTGTACAAGCATAACGAGAAATCCTTCAGTTTTCCACCGTCCGGCTCTGTACCCCGGATTAATGCTCTATCCTCTGCAAAATTGCGTTGAAATTAGTCAAAATTTATTATTATTCTGACCCGTGCGGCCCTTATTCTGGCCCTCATGACCCTTATTCAGACCCTTGTGACCATTAATCTGACCCTTGTGACCCTTAATCTGATTCCTGTGACCCTTAAACCGATCGTCGTCACCCTTATTCTGACCCTCATGACTCTTATTCTGACCGTTGTGACCCTGATTTTTACCCTCATGACCCTGATTCTCAACCTCGTGACCCTTACGACCCTTATTGTGACCCTCACGACCATTATTTTCACCCTCATGACCCTTATTTTGACCCTCGTGACCCTTAATTTTGAAGTCGTAATTTTTAGTACCAAATTTTTATCACCAGAAGTCGATTTGGATTTTTATAATATAGAGAAATAATTTATTGAAACATGCTAGACGGTTTCTATTGCCCCCAGAACAAAAAGGGATAGTTGCTCGAGACAATCAAAAAGTTTCAGTCCCAAATCTCAATTTTTTTACCATGTTCCCTACACCCTGAAAATTTTTGTAAGAGCAAATCATATAGCGCGAGTACTGACGGGTTAAAAATTTGATGTGAATAATAACTTCGGTGTTGACGCTAAAACTGAGAAGCTGTACCAAAAAACACTGCACGGAGTGAATGATAACACTGTCTCAATGCAGTTGGCACTGAGTAGTGTAAAATGGACATGTTTTAATTTTTCACGCTCACGAAGAAAAATATTCAATAAAAATTGCAGGTAGCTGTATCTTTGACACCGCTGTAATTGTACGTGGATACGTCCATGGTCTTTCCTTCCTCGAATTCCCTAGAAACTCCTTGCATTCCCTCGAATTTTCTAGAAACTCCCTGAATTTCTTGAAATTTCTAGAAGCTCCTTGAATTTTTTCTAAATTTCAAGAAACTTCTCCAATTCACAGACGAAAAAATTAAATAGAAAAACCTATCGAATTTGTTATAAAATTCTATTGAATTTCTATTGAACTGTTCTATTAGTTTTTGGCCGATTATATTGAAATGTTCAATAGAAAATATTCAGTAGAAAAAGTCAATAGAATTCAATTTTTCTATACAACTTATTCTATTGAGATATTTTCCATAGAATTTCCTCGGCTCAAATTTTCTAATTTTTTTCGTTTGATTTTTTTGATGAGAAGAAAAGAAAAATAGAATGAAAAAAAATTTGAGTCGAGCAAATTCTGTAGAAAATATACGAAAAGAATAAGTTATATAGAAAAATCGAATTCTGTTGACTTTTTCTATTGAATGTTTTCTATTGAACATGTCAATAGAATCAGCCAAAAACTAATAGAAATTCAATAGAATTTTCTAACGAATTCGATAGGTTTTTCTATTAAATTTTTTCGTGCGTGTTACCTCGAAATCCCTAGAATTTTCTAGAATTCCGATAGATGGCGCTGCACATAAGGACCGTTTCCCAAAATAACCCTCCCTACTGAAACCATAGACGTATTCACGTCAAAAATTACGTATCTTTTCCGTAGTTCCGGCGCGAAATATGGTTGTAGGAAATTTCACGGAAACGTCGCATACTTTTTCCGTGCGTCCCGTAATTTTTATCTAAGTTGCCCTTGAAACATTACGATACCGTCGCTTAAATTTTCCGAATCGATTCCGTAATCGTTGACCGAACTGTGAGTTCCGCAATTTTTACTGAACATTTCTCTCCGTGCTGTCAATAAAATTACCAACACCGCTTTCAGTTTTAACGAAGGGCTCGATGTGAATTTCACCCCGAAAATTCATTGATTCTAACACCAAATAGAATATTTCGTCATTAGGCCGAAAAAAACTTTTCTGGCGAATATGAGGTTTGCAGCACGAGCCGAAGGCAAGGGCTGCAATCATATTTGTCAGAAAAGTTTTTTTTGGCCGTATGACGAACAATAGTTTTTGTTATGAAGCGGAGCCTTCGGCTCGTGCTGCAAACCTCATATTCGCCAGAAAAGTTTTTTTCGGCCTAATGACGAAATATACTATTCACTGCGCACGCCATAAGCTCGAACCCCGTGAATTTTTTACTGTAGGGTAAGCTAGCCAGTAGATGGGCACTGCCCTATAGATGGACAAGCTACTTTTGGATAGGAAATTACGCAAAAAAATACTGAAATGTGAATTGTTGCTTTGAATTATCACTAACTGTTGCGATTCTTAACCCCTGAGTGACGATTTTTTTTCGATCAATTTTTTTTTCAATTGCTAAAAAAAAGCAAACGTCCATCTACTGGGCAGTGTACCCTATACACTCTGTTTTATTTAAATCTCCATTTTCACTATTGACCTCATTAATTTTAATGGTTATGTCGTGACAGCTGACGTTTGGCGCTGTTTATTTATTTGCAACATTGTTTGCATCGTTTCTTCCCGAGTCCGATGAAGCTAAGATAATTAAGCGAAACGTCCCACTATGACAATTTACTCAGCGTCGTAATCATTTATCCAACAGCCCTTTAATTAACACAATGCAGATGAAAAGAATTATCGATTAATTGAGAAGGCTAGGATTAGCTTCAAGATTACCTTCACTCAGAGACTTTTCGCATCGCTCGACGGTTTCCTTGAGTATGGAAGGGGTTGGGGCGCAACTACTATCAGTCAAGATAGGAGCCTAAACACGAAGATGTAAGAAAAATATTTTCAACTCTGAAAGGGATTGACCGATAATAGTCTGGCTTACCGATAGCAATAAAAATCCCCAGAGGACAAGTACAAATTTATCCATAGTAAACAGATATTTTGCTCTTGCCATATACAATTCCACGATTTAGCAGGCTTCGCACATAACCGCGAACAGTGCCGTATTTCATACCCATTTCAAATACTATCTACGGCGTTTTTTTACGATTGCTGCTGCGAATGACGAAATACCACATACTATGAAACACGTGTAAACACTGAGAGAACTCCGTACTTATGCCCTTTCACCTTTGATTCAAGGAATTACAAGTTCATTAGAAAGTCTCCAGATAGTGTTAATTGAACACGTAAAGAATGTGGAATTAATTAAATGAGTAATTTTTAGGAGTAGTTTCTATAGTATAGTCCACTCTTTTTAGGCGGTCGTTACTTTTTGGTGACGATTTTTGGGCGCTGATACAGTTTGGCGCATGCACGGAGAGAAATATTCAATAAAAATTTCGTATCTTTTCCGTAATTCCGGAGCGAAATGTGGTTGTAGGAAATTTTACGGAGCTGTCACGGAATTTTTCCGGAGCGTTCCGGAATGACTGTGATGATGTGAATTGATCAGGTCCTGATCAAATGTGTAACGCCGTTTTAGATCCTAATTTTTTGCCCGGTGGCTTGGCGCAGTGAATAAGTTCGTTGCCTCACATGCGAAAGGTTCCGAGTTCAAATCCCGGCCGGGTAGAATGGTGCGATCTAACCATTTAAAGTCTTGATCATCACCACAGTATACCCTAACCGGGTCGAAGCGATGTAAAATAACGATAAAAAAAAGACCCTAATTTGATCGGGAGCAGGTCTAAAAAACTGCCGTCAAAACAACTCCGCCCTATCCGCCACGTGTTATTTTGGAGGTTGTTTTGACGGAGTTATTTTTAAATGGAATTTTTAGATATGGACCCATTTTATCAGGCCTGATGGACCCAAACCTCATCAAGCCCCATGGATCCGGATTGGAGGAACGCATCCAGTTTCATTACTAATATTCGTTAACAAAAATTGATGATTAAATTTTCAGAACAAATTTTTACGATCATTTGTGACCTTATTGGTCACTCCGCAACGCACTCATTGCAGAAAAAGTCGATTTTGTTATCGACACAAACGACTGGTTTCGAACCCGGGATCCTACGATTACTAAACCTACGCACTAACCACTAGATTACCGCGCTAATCTTACATTGTGAATCTCGTATTGTAAATATGACCTACTTTTGCATGTATCGCCTGCAAATATTCCTCCACTATTGCTGGCAATAAACAATTTCTAGATACACCGAGAGAAATGTTCAGTAAAAATTACGGGACTCACAATCCGCTCACCGATTACGAAATCGACTCAGAAAAATTTAAGTAGCGGGATCGTAATTTTTCGCAGGAGATTCAGATAAAAATTAGGAAATGCTCTGGAAAAGTTGCGTAACAGTTGCGTAAAATTTCATCAAGCCCCATGGATCCGGATTGGAGGAACGCGTCCAGTTTCATTACTAATATTCATTAACAAAAATTGATGATTAAATTTTCAGAACAAATTTTTACGATCATTTGTGACCTTATTGGTCACTCCGCAACGCACTCATTGCAGAAAAAGTCGATTTTGTTATCGACACAAACGACTGGTTTCGAACCCGGGATCCTACGATTACTAAACCTACGCACTAACCACTAGATTACCGCGCTAATCTTACATTGTGAATCTCGTATTGTAAATATGACCTACTTTTGCATGTATCGCCTGCAAATATTCCTCCACTATTGCTGGCAATAAACAATTTCTAGATACACCGAGAGAAATGTTCAGTAAAAATTACGGGACTCACAATCCGCTCACCGATTACGAAATCGACTCAGAAAAATTTAAGTAGCGGGATCGTAATTTTTCGCAGGAGATTCAGATAAAAATTAGGAAACGCTCTGGAAAAGTTGCGTAACAGTTGCGTAAAATTTCCTACAACCACATTTCGCTCCGGAATTACAGAAAAGATAGGTCATTTTTATCGAATATTTCTGTGTAGACTTGTGATAGTAGGGGTGAATTTATCCAGCATCCCCCTACCCCTTGCCCTCCCACTATCGTTTTCCCCCTCCACGCATCTTTTTCTTTCCATTTGACTCTTATGATTTATGATGCTTAAGACTTTTGAGCCTTGAAACAGCTGACCATTGTGATGATCTGACCCTTAAGAAGTCTGATATTTAAGATATTTGACCCTTTGTACGTCTGACCTTCAAAACATTTGATCTTAGAAACATCTCTCCCTTATATTGCCTGACCCTTCAAACAAGATATTTGAACCTTTGAAAGTTAGTTCCATGAGACACTTGACCCTTTAAGGGGAGACGGAACCCCTTTGTCTATATCAAAATTANAGTATACCCTAACCGGGTCGAAGCGATGTAAAATAACGATAAAAAAAAGACCCTAATTTGATCGGGAGCAGGNTTTCTCCTACAATTATTAATTTCTATCTATGAAACTACTTTATCGACTCGATTGTCGCAAAAGTAACAACTAGACACGAAATCCATCCATCGTGTCCATGGATTGTTGAAGTAATTTAATGAATAAAAAATAGTAATTACAGGAGAAAACACAATTTTAAAAGTTCATATAGACACAGGGGTTCCGTTTCCCCTTAAATGTCTACCCCTTACGACAGTCGAAAAATATCAGGAAAAATAATCAGAAAAATAAAAGTCACAAAATGAGGGCCAGAAAATATGAGGGTCTCGTCTCTTGTCTCGTTCCTCTCGATCAACTTTTCCTGTCTCGTCTCGTCTGCTGATTTCTATCTCCTCTCGTCTCGTAATTCCTCTCGTCTCATCTCGTTTCTCCCATCTCGCGCGGTTCCACTAGTATCGATGCAATGAATAAACACAATAAGCCTTCTACACAGGCTGTCATGGAGTTATGATTCAATTGAATATTTCATTTCCCCCCCCCCCCGGAGGAGAAAAAAAACTTTGAAAAAATTTGGAGATATGGGAATGATGTGCTCAATGTGATGGCTGCGAAAAATAATGGCGTACGGGGTCAATAATCCCGTGCTCGACATCTAATTACGGTTGTCGGGTTGAAATTTTGTGGGATGGATTAATATATTTTTCTGCACTAGTGAAGAACCAGACATTTAAAAAAAATTATTGTTATCAAACAGGAATCACACTTTTGAGTGTTTTTCTCTACATGTAATGTATTACATATGTTATTGCCTACGATGGTGGCTCTGGTTCATGCATTGGCTATTTTTGTACGTGGATAGAGAAGGGCAAAAATCGTATCGTAAAAAGGAGACAGGAAATCGATCTCGAAATATCTCGAAAATCTCGAATAAGCGTAAGCGTAAGACTTAAACCGAAGCGCCGCTACGTGAGGAGATGAGCAGGCGCGTGCGTAGCACGCGCGGCCGATCTCGTTGTGAAAACTCGAGAGCGAGTGCTCGTGAAAACGAAATGAATAAATAAAATACTAACTGTGTAAATGTTTGAAAACTTGAGTCTCAGTTACACCAAGAATTGAAAAAAACTCAGCGTAAAAAACTTCGGGAGAACTTCAGGATAACCAAGTTGGAAATCTTCAGGTTTCAGAAAATAATTCGTCAGAAAATAATAATATTCTCAAACTTTTATTTCTATTATGAAGATAAAAACAGTTTGTTCGAACATTCATTCATAATAAAACGGATTTTTTCCGATGACCTTGCCTTTGGTTTAATTTTAACATTACTATATTTGCAAATTGTAGAAAGATCTCAAACAGTGATAATTAAACAGTTCGGATTTCACAATTTCCCTTGCAACTTTGATCTCACAGTTTCATGGAACACCTTATTTCCAGGAGCATTAACCCTTGCGTACCCTGGGAGTCCATCCTCACAAGTCTTGAGCCAACGCACAACATTTGGATATGGCGAAATAGGTACTAAAGCCTGCAACAGTCGTCAATGATCATTAAATAATCCTAAATATTTGAAGAATTTATCATTTTCATGGATCAAATTGTTACATCCAAACTGCTCAGTGTGGAAACACAACTGATATCCGCCAGCGTGAAGGAAGCGCCTGCTAGCCATTTTTTGCCATCCAAAAACTTATTCAAGAAATCATAAGCGTCTAGCAATAGTTGTCGTTTTTCTGGCGAGATCGAAGTTACGCCGTCACGAAGTATAGGTCTCTGAGTGGAATGAATGAATAAAAATGCAATTGTAATGACGCTGAATATTCATCATTTCTTTCAAATTTTTCCCACCCAATTCAATTGATAAATTTGATGATTGAAAATGGTTGAATCTATAGTGTGGTCTCACGCACGAAAAAATTTAATAGAAAAACCTATCGAATTCTTTAGAAAATTCTATTGAATTTCTATCAAACTTTCTATTATTTTTTGGTTGATTCTATTGACATGTTCAGTAGAAACATTTAATAGAAAAAGTCAACAGAATTCGATTTTTCTATATAACTTACTCTTTTCAAATATTTTTTATAGAATTTGCTCGACTCAAGTTTTTTAAGTTTTTTCATTCTATTCTTATTTCCTTCTCATCAAGAAAATCAAACGAAAAAACTTGAGCCGAGGAAATTCTATAAAAAATATCTCAATAGAATAAGTTGTATAGAAAAAGTGAATTCTATTGACTTTTTCTACTGAATATTCTCTATTGAACATTTCAATAGAATCGGCCAAAAACTAATAGAACAGTTCAATAGAAATTCAATAGAATTTTCTAACGAATTCGATAGGTTTTTCCATTAAATTTTTTCGTCCGTGACATTATGAATAGAAGTCTATTTATTGCGAAATAAAGAATGAAGTCTAACGAAGAATATTCATCCTTCGTAAATTATAATTGATACATCTATGCAAGGGAATTCTGGATATTCCAAACTCATCGTAAAAATTGAACATCACATGCAATTCATTTTTCAATAGATTGAGAATTCAGAAAAGTTATGGCCTGAATTTTCAAAATTTTCAAGGTTTTTCAGTGCTGTATGGACCTCAAAATCGAAAATTATTTGAATATTCGAGAAATTAACTGATTCGTTAAAGGAGAAATGAACAGAAATTTCATGTAACTTTGTCGTTGTTAAAAATTTCAGGCTTTTTCACTTGAAATTTCAATAGTAATTTCCTAACAGTATATCATATTTTTTATCTCATATCTATCAAAAAAAGTTGAATGGAAAAATATAAAATTTTCAATCAGATGGAATACCGATATAGAATTTCACTCGAAGTGCTTAGCGAATGCGTTGCGCATCAAGTATTACATCAATTTTTTAAATTAGGGGCGAGGTCCTTGATACTCACAGCTATTCCTCGTAAAATTGCAAAGAGTATTCCACTGTCAAAGTGCAAACGCTGATCAATGAGCGCTCTCTTCTTCAAATCCTTCGGGTAGAGAGAATCATTCTCACCGTATTTTCCAACCAAATAGCAAATTATCGCATGGCTATAACAATAAGAACGTTCCAAAACTACTGCACCAGCCCACAATAACGATAAATAACCTTGAATGAGTACGAGAATTTACCTATCCCAAATGATATCGCCATTGTCATCCAGCGCGGGAATAGTATGCTGAGGATTGATCTGCAGGATTTAAATTAAAAATATTGCATTCGGATAATGTGTTCCGCCCTGGCAATTAGTGCGCTACACCCTACATAATTCAACCTTCTAGTTAAGGAGAGGTTCACCCCGGCAAAAAAAATTTTTTGCTGGAAATCGGCGACATGTTCCTGGAAATCAGTGACATGTCTCCGAAAACTTTTTTTTCTCGTGTATGAAATTTTTCGGGTGTGGAAACAACTTCACGGTGTGGAACGCACCAATTCGCCAACTTAAAAAATTTCAATTGAAAAATTTCACTTTACTTTCTGGAAGTCTTCAGTGAATTGTTCTCTCTTGTTTAAATTGATTTCCCGTATGTCTAATGCCAAGCCAATAGCTTCTGCAGTGAGGAGTACAGCCCGGCAAGGCGGGCTGATCTCCGTAGAATATAAGATAGGACGCGGCATCTCTACTGGAGGATTATAATTTGCCAGATCTGAGAGAAACTGGATATCGAGTATGAGTAGAATTATAATGAATTAATGTTACCACTATTTCTGTCAATAAAAATTTAACCCCAGTCAGGTCACCATACGCGACAGTGCGACATTCAGACTTCAGCGTTGCCGAATTTAATCTACACTACCCGGGCGCGTTTTACGAGTTTCCGGCAACGTCGCATAACGGATATTTGAAAGGCTCTGGGTATTATAGAGACGATTGTGAAAGTTTGTGTTGTAGGTGAAAAAAAAGGAGGAAAAAATCGAACTCTGAGATTTTCGAAAGTTTCTACAGGTCGTAACAAGTCAAAATGGCTGAAAATCTACAAAAACGTCCTAGTGTAACCAAAATTTCAGCCCAATTGGTCGAAAATTGAGGTACTTGGACGTTTTGATAGATTTTGACCCGTTTTGACCTTTTAGAATCTTCGGAAAATCTCAGAATTCGACTTTTTTCCCACTTTTTTTCACCTACAACACACAAACTTTCACAATGGTTTCTATAATATCCAGACACTATCAAATTTCACCGTGGTCTAGCCTTAAGAAGAAAAAATTATTTTCATCACGCTGTGACGAAAAGTGAACTTTTCGGCACGCTCCGCGTGCCTAAAAGTCCAATTTCCGCCACATTGTGATGAAAAATATTGTTCGTAACTCGTGAAAAAATGTTTTTTAGCTCGTGGGATTATATCACTCGTCTTCGGCTCGTGATATAAACCTCCCACTTGTCAAAAAACACTTTTTTGCACTCGTTACGAAATATACTAATATCTGTTGGAAATAATTTGGTTTCTTCAGGAATCTCGGGAATTATTTTAGTTATTTATTTTTTATCCATTTCTTTTCTACTACCGTTACGGTTTTATAGGCTCCCCTTTCTCGGTCCTAAAACTACTAAAATTTTTAGAAACTTCAATTGAAAAAGTCAAATTTTTATGAATTATTCCTCTTTATTGGTCCTATCTAGTCAGCATACTCGACATTTCCACTTTGGTCACCTCCGCGGAGTTTTACCGTCGTGTTATTCTGACCTCAACGTTGCCGAAGTCACTCTACACTGCCGGGACGCGTTTCGCGAGTTTCCGGCAACGTCGCATAATGGACAATTTCATTTAACGTGGAAAAAAATGATTCATCCCTTGAAAATAATTTTTTTTCGTCAGTAATCTCGGGAATTATGTTGTTATAAAACTACGATAATTTTTTAGACACTTCAATCGAAGAAGTCAATTTTTTCCGTTGATCAGTCAATGGCAATTGAAGAAGAATGACGCGCTATATGTCGGATAATAGCAATAATTAGTTGATGCGTGAATACATTTTTTTTTTCAAGTAAAATCACAAAAGAAATTTTCACAAGTCGAGAATGCATTTTTCACCTCAACTTGTAACACGAGTGGTTCGCTCAGTAGTATTAATCGAACTGCAGTTGACTGTGGTGGGAGATTCATGAGAAATCTGAACGGAGAAGATCGGTTTTACGAAAACATATGGTCAATGCCCCCCGAGATACGCCGGCGCAAAGAATGTTTTGAACGCAGGCACTAATCATCATTCATTACACAAGTGGATGACATTGTTTCTATCTTGTGTATTTACTTGCTTTTCTTATTATGTAATAATTCCTCGATTCCTATTACGAGTGAGAAAGACTATTCAAGTTGGCTGCATCAGCTTGCATTTTGAAATGAGTGAGAACTCAACTTTATTCATCACTGCGTTCCATAACTTTCATATTTTTCTTACTATTCGATGAATTTGTGAATATTTGAATGAAGACAATTTTTTTCGACATTCAGTTCACGTATTTTCAATTGCTAGTCTACAGCCTCGGTTGTGAGAAGTACAGCCCGACAAAGTAGATTGTCTTCCGCGAAATACAAGATTAAACTTGGCATTGTTACCAACAAGCCTATTTTTTGTTTTTTAAAAATGTTGGTAATTAGCGGAGATCAAAGACAAATTTTCAACGGCGAGTGCAAATTGAAGAACATCTACACTGTTAAAAATTTCTGAGAATTTCAGTCACAGCGTCGCTGAATTTTCGATGTTGTGGGATTGAATTCAATTTCAAATGAAAGTGTTCACTAAATTTTTCATTCATCTTGAAAATTTAATAAAAATTGGGTTTTTCATGATAAATAATCAATGATTTTGCAATGAAAGTTTGAATTTCGAAACTCATTGTGAAAATTGAATGTCACATATAATTCGATTTTCAATAGATTGAGAATTCAGAAAAGTTGTTGGAAGTGCATAACGAAAAAATCATGAAAACAATAAAGACTAGAAGATTGACGATTCTTCTATGCGATTTAAGTAAGTTCATTTGCGACAAAATCATACTTGAGTACAAGAATATTTTAAAGCATGAGGCCTTTCTCGGGTCATGTGAGTTGATATGCCTGAGAGAATTAAGCAATTGAAGAAAATTTACTTGTCTCAAGAAAATATGTTTCAGATATTAGAAAATTTTTTCCTCAGTGTACTCTTCTTCCCGTTGAAGAATGACCGGGGCCATAGGTATCTTATAAGAAGCCCACGGAACATAAATATGGATCGGAAGGCGATCAAAGTACCGAGAGTGGGGGTAGGCCTCGAGCGCTCGGAGCGTGAGGTATCTTATAGAGAGGTATCTTATACGAAGCCTCTACTGTATGAATTCTGATAAAGTAAATGAGTATTGAGAACTTACGAATCCGAGACCAATGTAGAAGCACAATGAATATTCCCTCAGTACCCCATTATCCGGCTCTGTGCCACCAATACGAAAAATTAGTAACAATCACTTGTGACATTCAATAGCGTTACCGTCAGTAAGGTGTTCATCTGCACATTCCACGTCCACGTCCAGGATTTTGTCAGGGACTGGGGTGCAATTAACGGTGCTATCATCAGAGTCATCAGCCTGTGAGAGGCCCGCCATGAGAGAAATACCGAAAATGCCGATTAGGAAAAATGCGCTTTTATTTTCGCAGAACAGTTTTTATTAAATTTTGTTCAATATTTTTTTTATTATTGGGAGTACTGATGAGAATACTACACGGGGAGAAATTTTTTAGAAAAATTCTAGTGCTAGCACGGTAACAGATACGCAAAGTGATGGCCAGGGAAAAATTTCAGTGCTGGAAATGGAAATTTTATTTGAGAAGCTGTGAATTTTTCCCGGTATTTCTGTGAAAATTTCAGAAAAAACCCCAGAAATTTTACCTTAACAGCACTAGGATTTTTCACAACCGGTGGATTGTGATTTTTTTCTCTACTCATACTAGAATTTTTCTAGAAAATTTCTCTCCGTGTACTTTTCTAGTCGGCCGATTACACTTTTCTTTTTTTATTCGATAGAAATGCAGCATAACATTCTCCTTTTCCCCCATCTGGGTCTCCTTCTGGGCCTTCCTCTGGTCCTTGGATTTTGCTGTTTCATTTTCTTTTCAATTAAAATTTGAGTAGAGCAAATAGAAAATATATGAAAACAATAAGTTATATAAAAAAAATGGAATTCTATTGACTTTTTCTATTGAATGTTTTCTATTGAACATGTCAATAGAATCAGCCAAAAACTAATAGAAAGTTTAATAGAAATTCAATAGAGTTTCTAACAAATTCGGTAGGTTTTTCTATTAAATTTTTTCGTGCGTGATGAGCCTTATACACTGACTCTTATGGAGTTATAATTTAGAAGAAAAATAAAAAAAAAATAAAAAAAATGAAATTTTTTTTTAATTAAAAAAAAAGAAAAAAAGTTTTAAAAAGCGGGAAATAGAATAAAAATTTGAAAATCCCACTACTTAGGATATTTTTGGCGGATATTTTCATTAATAGCTTTTAGACACTTCAAAATGAAATGGCAATTTTTTTCCATTTTTTTCTGGGGTTTTAGTGCAGTGAAAATGAAATAAATAAATTACTAATTGATACATTCTGACGGAAAAGGATAACCTTTCCTACGTTTGAACCCTGTAGTCTCAGTTGCACCAAGATTTTTTTTAAATTCAGAGAAAAAAACATCAGGAAAAATTGAAATTCCGAGGAAAATGTGCAGATAAAGATCAATAGTCCCTGCAATTCTGGAAATTTTATTGAATTCCATTTTGCCGAAAAATACGTTCAAGAAAATAAATTTAGTACAAATGGCGAAAAAAAATTTTTCAGTCGACTTTATCATCATTTTATAATGTAATTTTTGGATTATTTTCATGGTACTTGTTATTCTAATTTTTTTTCACCGTGATCAAAACGTGTTGAGCTAAATCTCAAGTGCCACGTGTATTTTTTTTGGACACGTCAGTTCTCGATATCGCACTTTTTTGTAGTATATTTCCATTACATTTTTTATGCTTCTTCTGCACTTCGCAAAATAATATCGGCCTTCGACGTTGATACACATGAGGATGATAAGCAAGTAGGAAATCTTCAGAATTGTGGAAAACAATTCGTCGGGAAATAATAATAATCTCAAACTTTTATTTCTATGGAGACAAAAATAGTTCGTTCGAACATTCGTTCATAATAAAACGAATTTTTTCCCATGGTCTTTTAATTTTAACATTACTATATTTGTAAATCGTAGAAAGAGCTCAAACAGGGATAATTAAACAGTTCGGATTTCACAATTTTCCTTACAACTTTGATCTCACAGTTTCATGGAACACATTATTTCCAGGAGCATTAACCCTTGTGTACCCTGGGAGTTCATCCTCACAAGTCTTGTGTCAACGCACATTTGGATATGGCGAAATCGGTACTACAGTCTGCAATAGTCGTCAATGATCATTAAATAATCCGAAATATTTGAAAAATTTATAATGTTCGTAAATCAACTTGTTTACATCCAAACTATTGAGTGACGAAGCAACTGATATCCGCCAGCTCGAAGGAATCGCTAGCTAGCCAGCTAGCCATTTTTTGCCATCTCAAAATATACACGAATGAAAAAATTTAACAGAAAAAACTAGCGAATGCGCTAGACAGTTCCATTGGATTTCTATTGAACTTTCTGTTAGTTTTTGGTCGATTCTTCTGAAATATTTTGTAGAAAAAGTCGAAAGAATTTGATTTTTCCATACACCTTATTCTATTGAGATATTTTCTATAGAATTTCGTCGTCTCAAATTTTCTAATTTTTTTTATTCGATTTTCGTGATGAGAAGAAAAGAAAAATGGAATGATAGCTCTTTCTTTCAACACGTTTCATCATATTTGTGTGGTAGGAACAGGAGGTGTTTTGGTGTTTTACAATAATATTTACTCGATCTTCAAATATTTTCTTCATTTACTTTTTGCATTTGTTATACATCAACAATGTGCTCATCTTTTCACCTTTTGCATCAAATATTTTATTCCGAACATATTCTAATGAATCGGCGATGCATTATGGAAAGGGGCGGATTTATTGCTTTTATTAATACACGCGATATTTAATATTTTCGTTCAGGCTTTAGACTAACATTCTTATCAAATCGAATAACGAAAAAAAAACACAAATATATCAGGAAGAGGGAAGAGGATAAATTAAACACTCGATTTCGTTACACTATTCACTCAAATATATTTTGGTAGAACTTTATCCAGTGGAAGTGTTTCTGCAGCAGAATTAGGAATTAATTTTGAGAATTAACAAACAGTAAAGACAAGCTTGATAATTTATCAAGTGCGAAACAACATTAATTAAGCTCGACCAAATCCAGCGAGATTTGTTCGAAAATAGGTGATATGTTGCTTAAATGGTCTGTCAGTTTTTGGAATTCTTCATCGTTGCCACGGTCCCAGAAAAGGTAAGTTTTGTCTCTATCATCTCCTTGGAGCGCATTAGCTGTAGCAAATACGAATGAAAACAGTGAGAGAAGTAACTGATTGAGTTCGAATCCTACCTTCTTTTATATGTTTCACATTCCATTGATAAATAGGTTCCGAAATACTTTTGTCTGGGTAAAGGTCTTCTACAAATGTCCTGATATATACCGGGTCGAAGGCACCGTCGTGAAACTATGTTGAAAAGTCAAGAGTTGTCATTAGTGACTAGGGGGCTACGCGTCCTGCTCGCTCCGCTCGCCAACCCCCAAATGACGCCCACCCGAGCGGAAATTCTGCTCAGGTCTCGATCAGAAACTGATCAAGTCCGATCCGAAACTCTGATCAGGCATGTTACGCCTCCACCTTATGTTTTTCCACTAGGCTTTCTCCGCCTACCATCATTAGGCATTAATTAAATTTAATTTTTTTGAGAGAAAAAATTTGTAACTTCCTAGTCGGGAATCGAACCCGGGACGTCCCAATGTCGCGTCGGGTACTCTTAATTTTTTTTTTTCAATTAACAATGTTTTTATTCAGTCAATAGAATTATTTACATATATACTGTTGGAATTCATGCCTGAATACAAAAATTAATTTCTTAGTTTAGTTAAACATTTTCTCTTTTCCACCCAAACACTCAGGGTGACATTTATGGCTTTTCTTAGAAAATAGAGACGTGAAGAAAAACAGTCCTCATGGTGAGTCACAAAGGAGAGGCTGAAGAAAATTGAAACAAGGGCCTTTTGTCAAATGGGTCCAGAGAGTGAAAACTCTCATGACTTTTAGTTAGTCGTCCTAGAGACTTCGTTGGAGAAAGATATACCTTCTGCGTGCGATCATTAAAGAGTTTTACTTTGAAGAATAAAACTAATGTGTTTTTATTGAGTATTCCTACACATAATCCAATATATGCATTTATAAAAACTAGTCTAAAAAAATTTGGCGTATAATAATACATTTTGTATATAAACTAATGGCCAATTAGCGGCTCTCAAGTTTAAACAATATCATTGTAGATAATTCTATAAATTTTATGTGACCAAACTATTTATTAATGATAATTAATTGGACGTATCGTCAGATACGAACACTATGTAATTTCGTTTTTATTTAATGTGCCCAAAAACAAAATTTTTTAGGAGTTGCTTTATTGTTAAAAAAAGGGCAGTCGGGTGCTCTTACCATCTGAGCTGCCAGGACACTTACGAATTTCACTCTCAAATTGACTCATACCCGAGTGGAAATTCTGTTCAGGTCTCGATCAGAAACTGATCAAGTCCGATCCGAAATTCTGATCAGGCATGTTACACCTCCACCTTATGTTTTTCCACTAGGGCATATGAACCCATATGATCCCCATGTCACACCCCCATGATCCTTATTCTGACCCCCGTGACCCTTATTCTGATGATTTGGATTTTTACAATATAGAGAGATATAGAGACCCTTATTTGACCCCCTTGACCCTTATTAGGACCCTTAATCTGGCCTTTGTGATCCTCAATCTGACCCTTGTGACCTTATCGGGATCCTCAATCGTACCCGCATTATAATCCTCGTGACCCTTATTTTGCCCATGGTGACCCTTAGTTTCTGACCCTTGATTTTTGACCCGTGACCATAAGGGTCACGGGTTTAAACCCTTTACTCTGACCCTTGTGAACCTTAATCTGATCCTTGTAACCCTTATTTAGACTCGTAATCTGAACCTTGTTACCCTTATTTGGACCCTTAATCTGACCCTTGTGACTCTTAACGTTGTGACACTTGTGACCCTTAATCTAACCCTCGTGACGCTTATTTTGACCCTCGTGATCCTTATTCTAACCCTCGTGGTCCTTAACTTTGGAGTTTTAATTTCGTGTACTAAATTTTCATCACCAGAAGTCGATTTGGATTTTTATAATATAGAGAGATGTCGCGAGAGGCCAGAGGAACGAGACGAGAGCGTATAATATGAAACAAAGAAATACAAAATGTTCCAAAATGCAACATTATTTTTCATCACGCCTGCATTTCATACTGTTCTGTTCGTAGAAAATCACTATGTTCAATGCAAAAAAAGAAATCTCACATCGAAGAAATTCTATTAAAATAAATCAAATTTTCAAGTTTTTCCGGTATGGTGCTCGGCTACTATATTCACAGAGTAATTTTCAAAGAATTCAAATTGACGATAAAGAATTCGATCGGATTATTGTCATGAAATTGAATGACCCCTTCAATTTAAATGAAGAATCTTGAACTCACATATCCAATGCCAGTGTACAAACAGAACGAGTAATCCTTCAGTCTTCCATTGTCCGGTTCCGTACTCAGGATGAGTGCTCTATCTCCTGTAAAATTGCACCGAAATTGATAGGAATTAATTCTGATACAGTAGAATCTCTCTCGCTAATTGCACGTCCATTAGTTGCTTTTTTTCTCCTAATCCTCTTCTCGGACACTCTAGCGCTGCCCCCCCCCCCCCCC